TCCAGGACCAGCAACGTAATGCACATTTGAACTTGGGCAGACAACAGCAGGACAAGGGTTCTGGAGGTGACGACTGTTGTGCATGCCTAGCGGGCATGTGTTTGTGCTGTTGTGCAGAGGGTGCGTTTTTTTACTCCCTTACGTTTCCTTGGGCGCTCGACTTACATTCGGAGTGCGCAGAGTTGTGCTGTGACTGTCTCTTCTAGGCAGTAGATCATGATTACATGACTGTAGTACCCATGTTCTTCGGAACCATTGATTTGCTCAGGGGTTTCATATTCCTCATCTACGATGTTACTAGCATCATGTACCATGATGCCATGAACGCTCCTGTCGTGTTTCTATTTACCAGATGTATCTTCTTCAGCTTATGACTCTAATTAATGAATTCTGTGCATGATGTCTATTTACATGAATTGAACTTTGGGCGGTCTGGATTATGCGGACTTGCGGCGAAAGACCAATATAAGCCGCCACGGACGAGCGCCGCGATCGGAGTGAGTCGGCTTTGCAAGCGTATTCCTCCGCCCGCGTGCGACTGTGACAACGTGACTTTTATACTGTCACCTCTTCTCCGAGCACATCCAAGTCTCAAAATCCCGTCTCTGACCGTCGTTTGCGAAAATGCTCTCTAGGCTCCCCGTGGGTGCTCTGAAGAATGTCGGTGTCTTCGGAGCTCGTTCAGCGACAAGATCCTCAGGTGTCCATATCTCGTCGGTAAGTACAATCCATACACGACGGCTGGCCACTCCGCGTTCAACGTCACACCCTACAGCGTGTCCGGTTTGCGTCTACAAGCTCAAACGCGTCGTCTGCATTTGACGTACGCCTAAAATAATGTCTCATAGGGTGATATGGACTCTGACGCTGTTGTAGACCTTCGTCAACTCTCGTGCAACGCTAGCCTCCGCGACCCTCTTCACCGTTGGTACTGTAGCATGGTACGCTAACCTCTACGGGACCTTACCTTTCGTCGGCGAGGTTCATGCAAACTCCCCGGCCGAAGATGGTCTCCATCCACCTCACTATCCCTGGTCCCATTCCGGACTCCTAGACACATTCGACCATGCCAGGTCAGTTGGCGAGCGTGACTGGGGCCGGGTAAACGCGCTCATGTCTATCATTATGACAGCATCCGCCGAGGATATCAGGTCTATCGCGAAGTATGTGCTGCGTGTCACTCACTGGACCGCATTGCCTGGCGTAATCTTGTCGGTATTTCCCATACCGTTGACGAGGTAAAGGTCATGGCTGAGGAGATCGAGTATGAGGATGGCCCAGATGATACGGGTGAGATGTTCAAGAGGCCTGGGAAGCTCTCCGACTATCTTCCTCCTCCGTACCCCAATGAGGAGGCCGCTCGTGCTGGTAACGGCGGCGCGTTACCACCAGACTTGAGCTTGATCGTTAAGGCCCGTCACGGTGGAGCGGTAAGACCAGATCAGTTGATGTTGTCGTTAGATTCTGAATCTTTGCTAGGACTATATCTTCTCTCTTCTGACTGGCTACAGAGATCCTCCAGCGGGTTTTGAGATCCGTGACGGGATGAACTACAATCCGTACTTCCCCGGTAATGCCATCTCTATGGCACGTCTTCTGTTCGACGGTTTGGTTGAGTATGATGATGGTACGATGGTTATCATTCTGGAACATTGTGTTGCCGCTAAATGCCAATTGCGATAGGCACTCCTGCGACAACTTCCCAAATGGCTAAAGATGTCGTCACGTTCCTGAACTGGGCTGCAGAGCCAGAGCACGACGAGCGCAAGAAACTTGGTCTCAAGGCCGTTATTCTGTTCTCTGCATTGACTGCGATTAGTCTGTATGTCAAGCGCTTCAAATGGTCGGTTATCAAGAGCAGGAAAATCTGTAAGTGCCACATTACCTGGTTGCGATGGGTTGTCACCCACTATTTTACTCACAGTCTACAACCCTCCCGCGGACAAGTCGGTGCACTAGAACTAGATGTTATTGGGGGTTCGTTATGTCATAATCAGTATTCTCCATTGAGAGTAGTAATTTTGCACATCTGTCTGCATTGCGACGTGAGCACAATGTTGAATGAAGAGCACGAAGGGACACGAATCGAGAATCGAAGCCGTAGAGGACATTATAAACCTCCAGATCTCGTGCCCATGTGAGCGGCGGCCGTGAGAAGTAGATGACCCACCAAAATCGGAATCTAACTGTTACACCCTTCTCTATACACGCTGAGCAGTCTGCGGATCTGTTCGATATAACCTTGCATCTACAAACATATAACTACGCTGCACTGCTCTCTGATTTCCATAATTACAAATTGTGACCGTACCCAATGTCTTCAGAGAGCTGGCCGCCACCACTGAAGTACGGGTTTTCTTCTCCCCGTCTTTCACTTTCCTCACACGCACTTAAGAGAATGGGTCGCAAAATGCCTTGGGCAGATGACAGATACAAATCGGACAGAGGCCCAAGCTGAGTTAAGGCAGGTAATTGCTGATGCTTTCGTGAACAAGACGCTGTGGACTACGGACTGGGCGGGGGTGCAATTGCAGAGGTGCGTGATTGCATGATGGCCTCATGGGTTTGTATCTCAAGTATCCCAATTTTGAGTTTATTGCCTAAGCCTTCGCCGAGTATGAACATCCTCAATAATCTGAAGCGCAAAATGTATGCCTTCATATTATCTGGATATAGGTCTTCTAAAGTGGCAGTATTTAGTAACGATGGCGCGGCCACAAGCAACAAGAAAACTAAGAAGATATCTCTTGCGAAAACTGGAGCATCTAACGCGTTGGATCCCAACGATCTGGCTGCACTCAATCGTCGGGCTGCACGATTTCAGCGGGAGCACGAGATCGAACGCCAGAAAGGACTGCAGAGCATAGGTCATGCGCATCACCACTTTTCTAATTCTCATTTCACATCCCGCACGGATTCACCCTTTGATGCCGACGAACCAGAGGCAAATTCTGTACGCCTTCAGTCATCATGTTTGATTGAGCTGCTCTCAGGTTTAAATTTGCAGAACGTGCCCAACTGGGACCGTTTCACAATTGTCGGTACATCTCAGGAAACATTCAAGGACTATCTTCGTTTGACTTCCGCGAGTATAAGTATCAACGTCTAGAATGTTGGCACTCATACGTATATATCATTAGGAGCCTAAACCTGAACAGATACGACCGTATTCAGTCCTTCAAGAAACACTGAATCAGCTCAAGAAGCGATGGCGCGAAAAAGCCAACTACAGCTGGATCTGTTCTCAGTTCAAGAGTCTGCGACAAGATCTCACCGTGCGTGCGAGATTTTATACAACAGAACACCTGACTTCAGACGTCTGTCCTCGTCGCATTTCTAGGTGCAACGAATAAAGAACGAATTCACTGTCGCTGTCTATGAAATCCATGCTCGGATGGCTCTGGAAGTTGTATGAAGGTTTAGTTCTTTTTTGCGGTAGGTGCTCACGCGGATGGGATATAGGGCGATATGGTGGAATACAATCAATGTCAAGCCATGCTTCGTAATCTTTACGAGCTTGGCATTCCAGGAAAAGTTGAGGAATTTACTGCATATCGCATCCTCATGCTGCTCCACGGGCGCAATAGAAGTGGTGGGTGGTCTTTATGTTCTTCTCATTGCTACTACTTTGACGCTGATGATCTCCGGTAGACATGAATCTATATGTAGGTCAGCTAACCGACAGACAGAAAACCGATCCAGCCGTCCGCCATGCCTTGGATGTACAAAGAGCCTTGGCTATGGGGAATTATCACTCGCTTTTTGATTTATACTTAAATGCTCCAAATATGGGGGCATACATTATGGACCATTTCATCGATAGGGAGCGAATACGTGCATTGATGGTCATGACAAAATCGTCAGTCTCCGTATTATTTTTTATTTTTTTCGCTGATATCATTTTTCAGATACCGAACACTTTCGTTGTCATTTATACAAAATGAGCTAGCATTCGAGACTCCTGCCACAGCTCGTGAATTCCTCTCTGAGCACAGAGCAGGGACCTTCCAGAACCCAAATTCTCCTGATTCAGAAAAGATCGTCGATTGTAAACCAGCAGCAGCTCCACTCGCACAGATATTTGAGGAGAAATATCGTAAAGTTCAAATTAAGGGCGCTGTATAGTTTCACTCCCTCCGCCTTCTCCACCGGTCTATCGACTATCCTGCCATCCAACCATTGACGCAATCTGTGAAAACCGATTTCGTTCTGCCTGCTTCTCTCCGGTCGCTCATCACCAGTGCAATTTCGAGCACCTTTCACACCTACCTGCTGGGCAAGTGCCGGTCTTGGATTGAAGACCCTGTGGGTTTGGATTCCATAGACTTGATAGAGACGGAGACAGCTGGATCTTTGATACACACTTGTATTAGACATGTAATCATTGCAGCATTCTACGAGTATATTGACGAATTACCTTCAATCACGCATACGAGCTGGTATAAATCTACGCAATACGATATCGCGAACTGAGTAATGTGCCAGACACGCGGGCGAGGTCAAAGCATTAGGCGAGATACGTGATTGGGCAGGTATTGTGACATATGCCAGGATGAGAGTCTGGGAATGGTGTAAACACTTAGTTGAATTAAAAATATGAAAGCATGCCTTTTGAACTTGAGAATTTACTCGATTTACTGTGCTCAACCAACTCCAAGAAAATGGTTCTGCATTTGCAAGGTCAAAAGGGGAATTCTCCTGGTCGGCAGGATCTTCGTAGACGGGGAGCACAATCACTGCGAATCTAGAACGGAATAAGACGATATTCTTGTCATTCAGGACGATATGCACACGCACTCAGCGTGATGAAATACCGGTCCTCGTTTGTACAGCAGAAGATCAACACAAAATTTGATACCGCCTTTGATGATCCAGCCCAGGGAGCGGTAGTGATGATATACAGCATAATTCACCAAGAATGGATTGTCAAATCTCTTGTATAGTTGGACATGTAAGGGAACAGAGATGGGAGTACTGTCGGGTGTACCCTGAAAGGCGGCCCATATCTCTTGCAGCGTCATGGGCTCGGACTGCACGAGAAGCTCATTAGAGAATAGAAGCATGCACATGTGACATCACTTACAGTTGCAGAATTGATGATGGTCAAACAATTCAGGTTCCATAGTAAGAAAAATGCCTCCTGCAAAGTGAGCTGAAGATGTTCCAAGTCGGGCACCTCCTCATGCCATTCCTCATTCTCTGAAGAGGGTGCCGCAGCACCATCCGGAAGATCTTCCGAGATGGCGTGCTGAGGTTTCCATGTTGCACCAGAGGGAATTATTGTGGTGATCTCCACTTGACGGCCTTCAGCAAAAGCTGCCTCGGCTTCAGCGGCTGCCTGGGCCATAGCAGCAGCACGGTCAAGTTTGAACCGTTTGCGTTCGGCCCTGCGTTTCTCCCTGACCTCCTCGGCAGTCATGTCTAAGCGTGAGTATCCATATAATGAGAAAGGCAAGAAAATTATATTCGGGCACGAACATTTGCCCGCTGCTTTTCTGGCGCTGATTTGCCGTGCTTGCCATGAAGGTTCGCTTCTAGAGAGATCCCCCTTCCCAAAGAAGCCTTGCCGCCAAAGGATCATCACATCCCTTTGTTCAGTGATCCACACAGAATGGGTATCCGCGGCGAAGATGCCAGTACAATGAGGGTTCAGTACGCGAGTGCCAGGAAAGCCAAATAGTCCTAGCACATGATTTGACCATGAAGTCTGTGGAAGGGAGAATTCCAGGGGAAGTGGATGGGCGTATAGTCGATTGTTTTCTGTACGGCGTGCACCACTCTTGCGGCCACCTCCTCGACGTTTGTTGCCTGCAGTTAGAGACATAGCGTGATTTCAATCTTCAGAGGCTGGCTACGCAAGCGCTGCATTACATACTATTAGATGAAGACGTCCAAACAGCGCGTCAACAGCGCGATCTCCGAGTCTACGTCTCTCCCTATCAGCATAGGCCTTTCATTTTAAGACTGATCCACTGGGCACATAATTAGGAAATGTCTGATAAACGCAGAGCCGAGATTGAGGCAAAGCGTGCTAAACTCGTAGAGTTGCGCCAAGCTAGGGCAGCCCGACAGAAAGCTGAAGCCGAGCGCCGTCTTACCGACGTAAGTACTGTCTTCATCCCCGCACGACGGCATTTTCACCATGGTCACAGAGCACTGGTCCCTCTGTTGCTCGTCGAGATGTCGATGATCTCGTCAGTTCTCTTATAGGCAGTGGTATCGGTCGCGGCGTTGACAGTGCAGCCGAGTCTCCAGTGTCATCGGTGCCGGGCACCCCAGCTTTAGGCCAGACGAGCTCTCTTCCTGGTCCATCGGCACCTTCGTTATCTGGGAGATTGAGTAGGCAGAGTGATCTCGCGTCCGACCGCGTTAGTATAAGTACTACCCTTGCGCAATCTGCCAACGGAACAACCGATCATATAATGGACAGGTATGTGTACGAATACTATAAACTTCCTGCTTCTCACATATCTAGGGTAATGACTCCTCGGATCATGCCAGACTTAATAGATGTAGAACAAGAGCTTTTTGAGCTGCCGCAAAAGGTCTGTGGAACTTCGATTTCAGTCTCGTTGATCACTTTTAGAGTTATTACTCCTGCAGGAGCGAGTCATTTATAACAAAGAAGTTCAGACCATGGAGGTTGAAGTGGACTCTCCCGATGTGTCGGAGGCAGAGACAAACGAGCGAAGTCAAAGAGAGCGTGAGGTCTTAGAGGCAGAACAAGCTGCACGAGAAAAAGATCTTGAAGAGCAAAGTGTACAGCTAGACAAGGAGATCGAACAAGAGATTCGAGGTGGGCACATCCTTGTATTCCTCACGTCGACGGCGAAAATCTAAATCTAAGTAACACTACCGACAGAAATGACGGAAGAAGAAAAGACCAGTATATTTGCAGTTCCTGAATTCTTGGATTTCGTCGAGCAGTCCACGAAGATTATTCAGCGCGCACTGAATGATAATTATGATTATGTCCGTGATTATACTATCGGCGCCGAGAGTGGAGTGTCCGTGATCTCATTTGAACGCAACCATATCAACTGAAACTGACTTACTCATAGTGATGACTCGGAAGGAAGACGAGTGAAATGTATTTGTGCGTTTTGGGACGAACGGTACGGAAAGAATCGATCAGTAACCGATATTAGCTGGTCGCCAAAGGTAGGAGAATGCGTTTGGGTCCCCAACACAGAACTAAATCACGAATAGTATCCAGAACTAAGCTGTGCTTCGTATAACAAGAATCCAGCTGCCCTGAATGAACCCGACGGGATCGTCGCTGTCTGGAATCTACATCTTCTTGAACGTCCAGAATTCATCTTCCATTCTCAGGTACGCTGAGCTGATCCGTTTATCGAGCATTGTTATGTTGCAACTGACGGACTCAGTCGGATGTATTGTCAGTGACCTTCTCGCCGTTCCACTCAAATCTCATCTTCGGTGGGACCTATTCTGGCCAGATACTCCTTTGGGATACACGATCAAAACATCTCCCCGTGCTTAAAACCCCTCTCTCCGCTGCTGGGCACACGCATCCTGTGTATGCCATGCAGATGGTCGGAACGCAAAACGCCCATAACTTGATCACTAGCAGCACTGATGGTCTGGTCTGCAGCTGGCTTGTTGATATGCTAGCACAACCACAGGCAGGTCTTGCTGCCTATTACAATTAGGCTGCAGTACTGAATTAGCAGGTATGTTGCTGATAGGAAACACTTGAACTTGTTCACGCTGGACATAACAAGACGGGCGAAGTTGCCATCACCACACTGGATTTTCCGGACAATGAAACTACTACTTTCTGGGTTGGGACTGAAGAGGGAAATGTATACCAAGCCAACCGTTATGACCGGGCGGGTGCAAAAGCCGGTCTCAATCAATACGACGTGTACAAGGGCCACTCGGGGCCCGTCATGGGACTGCATTTTCATCCCCTCCCTGGCCCCGTGGACTTCTCGGACATGTTTCTCACCTGTTCTGTAGATTGGACGGTGAAACTCTGGAGGGCAAAGTCACTCGCAAAACCCTCGACCACAGCGAATGTAATTTCGCCCATTTATTCCTTTGATGAGGCGGATGACTATGTGTATGATGTCAAATGGCACCCATCGCATCCTGCGCTCTTTGGTGCTGTCGATGGCTCAGGCAGGTTCGACGTATGGAACCTAAACATTGATACGGAGGTATGTTCTGGTAGCATTAGCCATGTTTGGTGGGGCGCTGATCACTTGCTCAGGTGTCTACTGTATCTACTGTGGTCGGTTCCGGCCGTGCACTGAACAAACTCCAATGGGATCGTAAAGATGGCCGACGAGCGGCACTGGGCGGCAGTGATGGGAAGTTGTACATCTATGATATTGGGGATCTAGCGCTTCCTCGAGAGTCCGAATGGACGGATCTGCAGAGGACGATTGGTGGCATGGCCGGTGGTGGCATGCAAAGTAACGGATTGGTCGAGGCGGGGAGATAGCGAGACTTTTACCCACACTGTGATCTGCATGAGTGTAGCTCCCCAGTCGGAATACCCTGTGTCCTGCTGTAAACCAGAACGTTTTCACGCGACTGCGATGTAGTATTTTTTGGTTCCGCTGCGGAATGCTGTCTTCAGGAGCGTCAGGACCTAATTCTAAGAGCGGCAATGCGGAAGAGAGGACGGCGTTCCGAGAAAGAGGTGAAGCGGGAGTCCGAGCGCGGTTGGTCTATAAAAATGCGGCGGCCTGTTGGATGAGAACTCTCCGAGACCTTGGCCGCCCGCTGGCGATTCGATCCAACCCTGCGGAATTAGAGACACGACCGTCAGCTGACGGATTTATGCTTTCCCGCTCGCCGCGTCCCCTCTCCTCTCTCTTCCGCCTCTTCCAGTCATCTCCTAGACCATCTCCCTCCCTTCCTCGTACCGCTACTGTAAATATCCACAAAATGACTACTTTCACGCAGGTAAACCCCTGAGCACGTCCGCTGTCTAGTTTCTCATCTCATTGCGCTTTGCAGGAGCCCCACAAGTGAGTCGTTTACGTTCCCCTTACGTCCGGATCAGCATTCAATCTCCTCGCCTGCGTTAAAGGTTGCTTGTGTGAGTACCACCTTGCGATCTTCAGATCGCAATTTCGTCGCTCATTAGAACACTCGCAGGATACCCGGACCTATAGAAGTTACAGATGAGGTACATCATTATCGGTTGCCCACAATCATCTCGCCCTGAGATGTAGTACAGGTCCTTTATGCCAATGCGCACCCTTCCATGTCCCATATGTCGGCCGATTTCGTTCCAGTTCTCGGCGATTGCATCCGCATGACTAGAGAGGTCCTTTTCACGACCACCGGCCAGCCCTTCATCATAGCTGGTTCGGGAACTTTGGGATGGGATCAGGTATGTTTCTTGTTCGTCATTCACGGTGTCGGCATATGCATTTCTGTTCAGGTTGCCGCCAACCTAGTGGAAGCTGGTGAATCAGCACTGGTTCTCAACAGCGGCTACTTTGGTGACAGTTTCACAGAATGGCAGGTCGATACAATATCATCACGAGAATCCCCTATTCACATTTCTGTAGTTTGCGAACCTATGGCGCAGAAGTGGATGAAGTTTACGCAGACCTCGGAACTTCAGTTGATTTGGTCGAGGTTGAGAAGGCGTTATCTTCCAAGAAGTACAAGATCCTTACTTTCACCCATGTCGATACCTCTACAGGTCTGGATTTTCGTATCCTGTATAAATTCTCTTGACTGACCAGACTGATCAGCGGTGCTCTCGGATGCCCAAGCCATTGCGGCGACAGTGCAGAGAGTGTCCCCCGATACCCTTGTAAGTTGTCTTTGTCTTTGACTGGCTCATGTTGGGCTCATGTTCGCAGGTTGTTATGGACGGCGTTTGTTCGGTTGCTAGCGAGGAGATTCGTATGGACGCGTGGGGAATCGACATCGTTTTAACGGCTAGCCAGAAGGGTCTTGGCACTCCTCCCGGATTGAGTATCCTTGTAGCTAGCCAGAAGGCGATCAAGGTCGGTCGGTTAGAATGGGGGGGGAGAGTCAATTAACAGGCGGTTGACTTTTCGTGATTATTCAGGTATTTGAAGCCCGCAAGACCCCACCCACGTCGTACTATGCAAGCTGGAAGAAGTAAGTTTTACCACCTGTATACTTCTGTGGATATAGCTTTGATGGATGTTCTAATCTCAGATGGCTTCCTGTTATGCAAGCATATGAGAGGGGTTCTGCCGCATACTTCGCTACACCTCCAGTTAATTTGGTTTATGCATTCCGCACGTCCCTCACGCAGATTACCAAAGGCCCGCAATCATTGGAAGAGCGATTTGCTCTTCATCGCAAGGGGAGTCAACGCCTCAGAGACGCCGTTGCCGAGCTGGGACTGAAGCAGCTGCCTACAAGCCCTGCTGTCGCTGCGAACGGGATGACCGCTATTTACTTGCCTGATGGTTATGCCGCCTCTGACATCGTTCCACGTATGTTGAAGAGAAATGTTGTCGTGGCCGGTGGACTCCACAAGGATGTCAAAGGTGCGTTTCTGATATTATTCCCTGATACTTGGCTGATTTCGACGCCATCTTAGATAAGTACTTCCGCATCGGGTGGGGATGTTTCGCATCTACTCTTCTCTCTAGGACTCACGTATCCCACAGGCACATGGGAGTCAGCGTTACGGATGAGTCGCGTGGAGATATAGACAAGATTATTTCAGCTCTCAGAGAGTCGTTCGCAGATGCGGCAGCAAGCAAGAAAGCGTAAGAATGAAGTATTGCCATTGTAACACATCCTACATTGAATTTTATGTCTTGATCACGAATGCAACGTGTGCAATAGTGATTATAGGGAAATGTCCGATGAAATGCCCGACGGGCCACTCCACTCAAGAATTTGAGTGAGCGTACGAATACTTGCTCCATCCAGTCGCCAAAAACACTGTGACTGTCGAATGCGAGAAAGTCTAAAAATAAGCGGTGATCGGGTTGAAAGCATGTGAGGATAGAAGGCTGGCAACCGAGAAAAGATACCTGTGAGCATCGATTGACAGCAAGGTGCATGAGTCTGAAATTGACCTGGCCGTTCTCATGCAGAATGAATGGTAATATACATTGCTTCCTATGACGTTTTTAATCAAATACAGAGTACCCACATGTGCTAGTTATTCGGTAGATTCTCGCGAGAAGTGTAATGTACCCTACAATCAGAATGTGTATTGAGCTTCGAATTTGGAATTTACTGCATCCGACGCTCAACCCCAGCGGAGAAGACTATGCGCTGCCGCTGACTTCTCGATGCTGGCCCTCACCGCCCATCTTGTCGTACCACGCCTTACCCTCCGTGGTCGGCGCAATATATCCAGCCCGGATGACGAAATCACCGAAGTGCTCGCCCTCACGACGTTCGAGGGCATATTGTTTGATCATGGGTCTTAAGATAGCCAGAATCTCTGGCTCAGTCACAGTCTCTATGGGTGGTGTTAGTAAAATGGTTCCAAGTGGTAGACCCCGTTGCACTGACCTCGATAGATTTTGTTCAATCGTTCACCATGATATCCACCACCAAGGAGCATAGAGTAGGTACCCGGAGCTTTACCCACGAAGGCTACCTCTGCGAAGGTGGTAGAACACAATGAGCCGGTTTCGGAGAAATCTCTAGAAATAACATACCCGCTAGATACGGCCGTGCACACCCATTCGGACAACCCGTCATCCTCATGACGATCGAATCGTTGCGTAGCCCATTTTCCTCACATATCGTCTCGACCTTATCGATGAGAATAGGTAGATACTGGAATTCAACGTGTCAGCTCGCTCACGTAGTCGATGTCGGAACATATCACTCACCCTCTCGGACTCGGCCATGGCGAGGCCTTATGAATAAACGTCAGGGCTTCACAGCGTAACAATCGATGACCTTGCTTACCGCACGTCGGGAAGGCAACACAGGCCGAAGACGACAGCCTCAGTCCAGTATATGAGAGGTTGTCCAATTTATACCTCGCTAAAAGGGCTTTTATCTGAGGTAAATCCTCGGTGGCGATGTCCGTGATGAGCAGGTGCTGATTGGCTGTGCAACGGAAGGCGCCTTTGTGGACTTTGGCAATCTCACGCAACGCCGTCTTGAACTCCTTTCCTGGCTCATCTTGAATACGGCCATTCTCGATGAAGCAAGTGAAGTGATGTTTCCCATCTTCGCCGATGTGCCATCCATAGTCGTCGATATTACGGTCGAAAGCATACGGACGAGCAGGTTGTAGTTTGTAACCAAGACGCTCTTCGACCTCAGCCTTGAAGACGTCCACCCCCATGCGGTCCATAGTGTATTTCAGCCGCGCATTCTAGATTGAGGTACCATTAGCAAGCACAACCACATTACCAAATAGATCTCCTTTATACCTTACGACTGCGCACACAACGACTATCAGCGAATGTTGGCCCAGATCAATGATAGCACTTACTCTTCACGATTGCCGTTGTCCCTCTGGACAAGCATGATTTTCTCAGCAACATAAACACCTTGCTCGATCGTGCAGAACCCAAGGACGTCAGCTGCACGCGGGTAGGTTTTCTTATTTCCGTGAGTTACACCCATACCGCCGCCTGCAGTGACATTGAAACCGACGAGTTCATCGTTCTCTCCAACGATAGCGATGAAACCGACATCATTAGCGAAAATATCCACGTCGTTGGTCGGCGGCACAGCAACGGCCACTTTGAACTGTTGGTGATTTAAATCAATACATGTACGAAGAAAATGAAGAAGTAGTTCCTTACCTTCCGAGGTAGATAAAACTCGCCATAGAGTGGCTCGATGTCTTTCAGAGCATCGCCAGCGACCAGCTTTTTATCTAGCCAAATCTCGTGATAAGCTGTCGTTCGTGGTAGTAGGTGCTCGCTGACACGCTTCGCGAAGGCATAGACTTGTGCGTGCAGCTTCGTAAGGGATGGGATGGCAGATACGATCACATTACTACCACAAACTTCAGTGAAGACTATATGAGGGAACTTGAGCGGTACCTACCGATTCACGTCTCCACAGGCAGCGAGAGTATCCAAAAGTGCCCTATTTATGTCTTGGATCGCTGGCTTCAAGTGGCCCTTGATAACGCCGTGGAACTGGAATGTCTGGCGAGTCGTGATCTTGAACGTCCCGCAACCGTGCTCGTCCGCTATCTGATCCATGAGCAGCCACTGGTCCGGCCTGCACACACCACCCGGCATGCGGACTCGGATCATGAAACTGTAGGCGGGCTCTGCACCCTGTGCTGCCCTCTCATCACGAATGTCCCGATCATCCTGCTGGTAGATCCCATGGAATTTCGTCAGTTGTGTGTCACTCGGAGCGAGCGCACCAGTGCTGGTATCCTCTAGACCCTCTTTAATCGTTCCGCGGAGGTACTGAGACGCGACTTTGATGTGCTCATTCGTGATCGGCTCCGGCTCTGCTTCCTGTACTTGAATTTCGTCGACACCCAGTGCTTTCCACACCTGAGGCTCCCACAGTCTGTATCCAGTCTCTGGGCCATCAGCATCCTGGTCGTCGCCCAAGCCGAGTGGTATAACACGTTGTGCACCCAAGCTCTCTAGACGGGCGTCGAGATCCTTGCCTGCCTTGTTGTAATAATGCGCATCCTCTGGTCTTGGCCAATAATGAGTGTCACCCATTGCGAATACGCTGAATTTCACAGCTTCCAGCGGTCGCTCTTTCCGCGCGACCGCCGCGTTCAGTGCCTTGACCATCGCGCGCCCGTTCTGTGGGAACTCACCCTGGCCAGCGACACTTGTAACCCACAGCACGATCGGCTCCTTCGCGATGTCCTCCAGTTTCACCGTGTCCATTGCCGCCACACTTGCTGATAGCCCACGCATCTTCGCACGCATTGCGAGCCTCTTCGCCACTTTCTCTGCCTTACCACCATCACTCGCGTATAGGACCGTCAGCGGGGGGGCGTCGATAGCGGTCAGAAGCTCCTCGTACGCTTTCCTTGCCCGCGCTCTCCGCGCAACCTTCAGCTGCTCGCCCAAACCGCTGACGAGCTCCGCTGGCATCCGCGGCCGTGCACGCACGAGTTGACTGAGGTGGTTCTGCCTGTCGAGGAAGCGCTGCAGCTCGTTCTTGATCGCATCCGAGTCCAACGAGAAACATTCGTTCCCGCTACCCTCGTGATCTTTTGCAGGGTTCCAGCGGTAGAGTGGCCAATATCCTGCGTCGACCGCCATCTTTGTTTCCTTAAGGATCTCGAGTGCGGTGCTCTCCTCAGAAGTGTACGGCAGATACGCAAGAACGACGCTCGGGCCAGGGAATGCATCCGCCTCCATGAGCGCCTGGAGCACCTGAGCATAACTTGCATACACGGCGACGCTAGCAACGTACACATCTCCGTGGTTCATGGCATACAGTCCGACGTCTTGCTTGCCACGCCTGCTTCCGTGCGCCTGGCGGCGTGAGTAGGGCGTGCTATCCAATAAAAGTATGTTCACGTCCAGGCCAGAGGCAATGGCGTGGTGCAGGCCAGATGCGCCCAGGTCGTACGCCCATGCATCACTTCCGACGATCCATCGGCTCCGTGTACGAAGTGCTGCCGCAGCGCGGAACAGTGCACGCGCCTGATACACTCGCACTGCAGCAGCGCCGGCTGACTTCAGACCTCCCTGGGCCTCTATCTCCTCAAGCGCGGCCACAATGCGGTCTGCAAAATTTGTCTCGAGCTCACGGACGTCCTTAGTCTTCCCTGAAGCGATTCTGCTTCCCGCATTCCGTACAGCGATCCACTCGCTGAGGAGCCGGTGCAACGTTCCGTCAAACGTAGACTCACTGAGGAGGACTTTAATGTCGCGCTCGAGTGTCTGAATCGCGTCTTCCTCGCCTCGAATCCGACCAAGCGTGAACTCCGGCGACGTCGAGACAATAGCAGCATCGTATACGTGACTAGGTGAGTTCGCAATCTCGAGGCGGGCGCCGAAAAGGGTTTCGAGCAACGTCGTATACGATGCCTCGTGCCGGGGGATATGAACATGCTGCGCTGATGCAAACTTTGCCTCTTCACTCCGAATAGTCCCGTGTGCTCCTTCTGTTAGCGGTAAGGCACCCAAGGTGAGACGGACCTTCTTCCCGTCCTGACCTTCTGTACTTGTCCGTACCACGAGGCTCCGTACATCCTCCGCGGTCACCGTCGTCGCGTCTCCTAAGAGCACACTACGCACCCTTGGCTGCTCGTCTCTATTGTCCGCCTGCAATGCGCTGACAACTTCGAGATAAAGGGGCGTCCATTTTATACTCCACCTGCGGACCTGTTCGCACACGAGTATATAACGTGCAGACGAAGGGATCGCGGCCGTGATACGAGTCGGAGATAATGGTTTGAGGAGCGACAACTCGACAATTGCTGTGTCTTCTACATTGATGTCTGAAGACAGGGAGCCGAGAGTGAATAGAACTGTGCGTGGAGCATATGCGCCGCTAGTAGTGACCGCTTGGACGGGCCGTTGAAGGAGAGAAGCGGTAGCAAGAGCAGCGGCATCGTATGCGGAGACGAGCGCATCGGATTCGTCCTCCACTTTTGCGGCAGACACGCTCTTGGCCTCCCCGGTTTCGTTGAATCTGTTCAGAGAAACCCGTTCTGCGAATAGGTATGGTTTGATGCTCTCCTCATCGATGAACTCGGCGTGTTCTTCTGCGGTACCGACGTGGAACACGTGGAGAACGGTGCGGCGCTCTGTACGGGCCAGTCTGCTAGCAAGCAGCGCGTTATCATGCGCGTCTTGTGCGGAGCGAGAGTATATGCAGAAGGGGAGTGCCGCACGGAGAACGAGAATGTCGGCGAGATCATCCTCGGGGAACGTGGAAATAGCAACGTGGAGAACAGTTGGTGTATACACGAGTTCAGGAAGATGAGGAAGAAGGTGATGTAAAATATGTGAATGAGAGAGCGTGAGATACGACGTCAAATTCACAGTCGTTCCATTTGGCGAACCGAGCGATAGACTGGAGCGGTCGCGGTGGCTGCTGAGGAGCATGGCCCCAGAATCGCCTCCAAATGGAATTCGCTGAACTGAGATTGGGGCATGGGCAGTAGACGAGAGTGCATTCAGGGCGGTGACGAAGGGAGAGATAGATGGGAGAGCTGCATCGGAAGAGAAGATTGAGTCTGAAGCAAGATAGGCGACCCGCGCAACGGCTTGAACAGAGGGCGAGGCTGACATGGCTAGCTAGACGCGATATGAAATCTGTAACTTGTATGCAGAGTAAGCAGGTTGTGCGACATGCACAAGTCGTTTCTGATCGACCCGTACCTCGTGATGGATCAACGTAAGCAGTCGTGTATTCGCGTAAGGGAGAGTTGTGAGTAAGAGCCACCGCACCGCGGCCGGGAGAGAGCGGGCTGGGTGGATTAAAAGGAATCTGTAATTCGGAATTTGGGGCGATTTGTGAGAGCGCAGGTGGCCGCTCGCGGAGGTGACCGAGAGGGAATGGCATCACTAGCACGCCACCATTGCCCCTTGCACTCAACCCTGCACTCGGGTTAAGAGCTGAGCGGATCTTCAACCTTATACCGGAACTGTACAGTCGTCTTGTCCCCTTTCGGCAATACCGCCGAAGCCAACGCCCCCGCCACCGACATCGACAGCTTCGCGATTCCTATCCGACACCACCCTCACGACCGCGATGGCCCCCACCAAAAAGTCCAAGGCCGCTAAGGCAACCGAGTCCATCGCATCCCGTCTCGCTCTCGTCGTGAAGTCCGGAAAATACACCCTCGGATACAAGTCCGCCCTCAAGCAGATGCGCAGCGGCAAGGGTGAGTCCTCACGTCCAACTCCAACTCGGGGACTGGAGCGCGATGCTGAGAAGGTCCCTTGTGCTAACATCGTCTGTAGCAAAACTCGTCCTTATTGCCGGCAACTGTCCCCCGCTCCGCAAGTCTGAGCTTGAGTACTACGCCATGCTTTCCAAGACTTCCGTCCATCACTTTGCCGGAACGAACGTCGCCCTCGGCACTGCCGCAGGAAAGCTTTTCCGTGTTGGGTGAGCATACACGTAATTTGCATCTCGGTCTGCCTAATTTTCCCCATTTAGCGTGATGACCGTCTCCGACCCGGGAGACAGTGATCTCCTTACCGTTGCAGAGGGTCAGGCCTCATAAAAGCACAGGCTGAGTGATAATCGGTGCGGGCATTGCATCCGAGTCATTATGATAGGCTATGTATGAGTTACTCTACTGCCCTCGACATCAATTATGGGTTGTTATGCACAATATGCTTGACATTGCACCAAATACGCTGCTCCTGGACCTTAGCTGTCTCGTGTTCAGTATATTGTAGGACCTAGTAACAGTTTTCAGCTTGCACACCGACCATTTACACTGCGTTACATCAGTCACTCAAGTCACTCTGTCTTGGGGGATAAGGTAGGACTTTAATGAGTCCTGAAGCTTGCTGTAGGAGTGTCTGCACTGCAGATCGATAAAATACGAATCAACCATTGACAATAGGAAGGTGTCATAGCATAGACGGCGACATTCCCAGCACCGCTCTTGGACCCTGGTTCGTGTAGTCTGACTTTGACACGAAATTTTTGCCTGCCGAATCGCTGAATGTAATCTGTGTACCACTTCAGCGGCAGACATGCTGAAATTGGTGCACTACATACTTTTGCAACAATGCTCGAGCCTAAAAAAGACGCCATTCCGTCTCCCCTTTCCCGGTATTCCGCAAAATAATCCGGAATCTTGAGCGTGCGGATAGCGCGAGGTTGCACCTCGTTGTGTTGTGGATCTGAGCTGTTGGTAATGAATGATGAAAGACGTGCCTGCAATGCCACTCCCATTCCTGTGACAAAAGTGGTATCAACAAAGGGTACATCGAATCGACGGAGGACGTACCTTTCACATGGTTCGCAATGTCTCCCGTAACAAAGAGGCCTTGCCAGATATATGCACGCTGGTCCACCTCTGTTCTGTTCACTGCCTCTCCTACCGCTGTGTGCAAAGGCAGTATCGGGACCCTCTCCCGCTCCTTCCCCTTCATCCTGACGCTCACGTCAAAAAGCGGCTCGCAAAACCTATGCCTCTCTCTCCCAATTGTGATCGTTCTCCCACGCCAGGACACCTCCACAAGATCCCTCGCCTCGATCTCCTTTGCCCGTGCCTGCTCCACCGCGCTCGCCCTTGCCGCTTTTTTCCGCATGCCGCTCTCAATCACAGCTTTCTCCTTCCCCGCCACGACAATCGCCGCAATATTAATGTCCCCGTTGTCCGCGCTGAGCTCCTCCATGTCTCGCACCGCGCCTGCTTCACCCTCTGCCATGACTCTGATCAGACCGTCTGTCCACAGCTGCCGCGCAAGCTCTTCCAGGGCCACTTCGCGGCCCTTCTCATCCAACGGAAGGGGCTGCAGGCCCTCGCCCTGCTCTTCCACAGCTGGAGGTTCTGCAAGCGCGGCCACTATGTTCTGATTTGAGGCTAGATGAGCCGCCAGGTGCTTGACGCAGTCCTCCAGTCCGGCACCGACGCTGACTCGCGCAGCATGCACAGGTACGCCGTCGTATATAGGTGTCACGTCCGTCCACGTGCGATCAATGTCAACTACTACACCGCTAAGCTGGCTCGTGGCTGTGATGGCGGCGTAGAATTGGGCGGTGGGTCGCTCGAGTAGAGAGAACGCGGCGACGTTGAAGCGCTCGAAGAAGAGCTGGCATATGTGCTCATGGGCCCCGCGCGACAGGCCGCATGGGAGTGAGAGGAGGACGGGGGATTCCATTTGCATGCGGCGGAGGTGAAGCAGATTGAAGAGAACGTACTTCCTGCAAAGGATAAGCCCATGTTCGAGTAAGACATGAGAAGTAGAATAGGCAGTAGGTGGTGTTCAACAGACACAGAACAGATGCATCATGAATGAGTTTCCACCACTAATCACTTGTATAAGACAACAGAGCGTACCAGAGCGCCTCGGCCTGCACCCAGTCACTGATATCACCCTCGGCAAAGGGCCAGAAAATCGCCAAATCCTGCTCAGCAATAACTGCCTCGTCTAGCTGCGTGCCGACCAGATAATCTGTCACCTTCGCGCCCACTGCTGGACTCGTAGCTTTGGATGTTGACGGACCATCATGCGCGTCCCCGCTAGTTCCATTCATAGCAATATCACTGTTCACTGTTGCATTCCTCGGTAGGCCGACTCGCGCGAGTATTTCCTGGATGATCATATATTGAAATAAGCAAACAAGGGCATGAAATAATGGAATTCACAATTGAAGGAGGTCGGAGAAGATCATGGAGGCCAAGTCCCGCCTTGATTGTGGATCGACTGGTGTCGAGCACGACCACGATGGAGTCGCGAAAAGAGTTACTGCTCATGGAGTTTGATGATTTATTTAACTTTATCTGGGAAGGGCGGAGACGAGAGTCAACGGGGGAGAGCGGACGCGTGGGAGCGCAAACGCGACGACAGGACGCGTCGACGCGAACTGGGACCGTTTGACGATGCATTGAAAGAATCACGTTCGCAGTTCATTCATCGTACCACCGCGCTCGCAAATATATACTTCGCTCATAATACACACTTCCATCCGCAGTCCTGTCTGCGTAGAGTGACCATAATGTCGTACGCCCCGCTCGACATCCCTGTCTCCGGAAAGGAAACCTTTACTGACTACTCGCGCTGGCGTCTCCGCTGCTCTGAAGACGGCCGTCACATTTGGCACTATCTGTACACAGACGAAGAGTGCATCGCCTGGCCCCAGTCCGACATCGACAAGTATTGGCTTGGCATCCCCCTCGACCTTCCTGCTCTCCCGGCTCCCAAAGACCCGCTTGATGCAGCTCGTAACGGCTACACCTTCTACAAGCGTCTCCAGGATGCGGACGGTCACTGGCCTGGTGAGTATGGCGGGCCCATGTTCCTCCTTCCCGGGCTCGTTATTGGATCGTATGTCTCGGGCATGAGCTTTACTCGCGAGGAGCGACTCGAGATGATTCGTTATCTCATTAACCTCGCCCATCCCGAGGACGGTGGTTGGGGACTGTGCGTTTTCCTTCTGCATCTAGATAATCTCGCAATAAAACTTGTATAGCCATATTGAAGGCCAGTCCACCGCATTTGGCACAGCGCTGAACTATTGCGTCATGCGCATACTCGGCTGCTCTGCCGATCACCCAACGCTTGTGAAGGCCAGGGCCACGCTGCATAAACTTGGCGGTGCAACTGGTGTCCCATCCTGGGGAAAGTTCTGGCTCGCTGTGCTCAATGTATACGATTGGGATGGAAATAATTCAATACCCCCGGAGCTTTGGTGAGTGCACACTTTAGGTGGACGAGCTCTGCTTTTTCGGACTACGCGCTTTAATGTATCCAAATATCATATACTGACAACTTCTAAAATTTACGCAGGCTGCTACCTGACGCAATTCCATTCCATCCTCACAGGTGGTGGATTCACACGCGCACGGTCTACGTACCAATGGCATACTTGTACGCTATGCGTTTCAAAATGGAGGAGAATGAACTTGTTCTTGCCCTTCGACAGGTAAAGGCAGCTATTTCTTTCCACTCATGACGCCGCTCACGAACCTCAGGAACTATATCCCCAAAGTTACTATAGCATAAACTGGCCCGCGCAGCGTAATAATGTCTGCCACGCCGACCTCTACTGTCCGCACTCGCGACTCTTCGACACCCTCTACTCCATTCTTAACATATACGAGCCCTGCGCATTCCCGCCCTTGCGGCGCGTCGCAATGGACAAGTGTTACAAGCTCATCGTGCAAGAGGACGAAAACACAGGCTATCAGACGCTGGGGCCGGTCTCGAAGATGATGAATCTCGTCGTGCGCACAATCGTGGACGGGCAGGAGAGCGAAGCGTACAAGCTACACCGTGAGATGCGGAAGGACTTCCTGTGGGTTGGAAAGGAGGGTATGCGCATGTGCGGTACGAACGGCAGCCAGCTGTGGGATATTGCGTTCATCACGGAGGCATTGGTAGAGACAGGATTAGGGCACGAGACAGACAACAGGGAGAGCCTGATCAGAGCACTGCAGTGGTTAGACCAGTGTCAGATCCAGCACAATCCGAAACACTACGAGACCTCATATCGCCACTCAACGAAGGGTGCATGGCCGTTTAGTACCAGGACCCAGGGTTATACAGTCAGCGACTGTACCGGGGAGGGCTTAAAGGCGGTCTTGTACATTCAAGAACATCTCGAGTGGGTGTCAATATCGCCTTTTCCTCATAATCTAATCCAGGAATTTAGGTCCTCTCCCAAGCTGGTTTCTGAGCGGCGGATGTGCGACAGTGTGGATCTTTTACTGGGCATGCAAAATCCCGACGGCGGCTTTGCTAGCTACGAGCTGATTCGTGGACCATGGTGGCTGGAAATGCTGAATCCTGCAGAAGTTTTCGGTGCGTTTCCACTCGACCTTGGTGAAGGAAAAAATTTCAACTTGTCGTTTCTTGATAGGTGACATTATGATCGAGCATAGTTACCCCGAATGTACGACGTCCTCCATTACCGCTTTGTCAATTTTCCGTAAACACTACCCCTACTATCGCTCAGCCGATATTCAGTACGTCTGGACCGCAGAGCATCGAGCATAGGTTGACTAACGCGTCCGTAGGCGGGTTATTGATCATGCAGTCGATTACTTGCATAGAGCACAGACGCCAGAAGGTGGCTGGGTTGGATCATGGGGGATCTGTTTCACCTATGCTGCCCAGTTTGCATGCGAGAGTCTTGCCCTTGTAGGTGAGACATATGAGACAAGTTCATACGCCAAGAAGGCTTGTGAGTTTCTCCTCCGACACCAGCGGACGGACGGTGGTTGGGGAGAGAGCTACAAGGTACGTACGATGCCCTTCATAAGTCGAGTTCATGCTCTCACACCCGTCGTTCGTTCAGTCCTGTGAGACGAGTACATGGGTGGAGCATGAGTACACACAGGTCGTGCAAACCTGCTGGGCGACCATGGCGCTCATTTATGCCCGATATCCCCACTCTGAGCCCATTGAGCACGCGGTTCGGCTTGTTATGTCGCGTCAAAATCCGGTATGAGCTTGAATCGGTAGCATAAGTCTGCAGCTAATTCATCATGTCTGGCAGGATGGTTCATGGTCACAAGAAGCGATGGAGGGGATCTTCAACAAGAGCGTTACAATTGCATACCCAAATTTCAAATTCTCCTTTACTATTTGGATGCTTGGCCGTGCGCATCTTTACCTTTCCGAGCTCAAAACTCGCAAGGCAGGCATTTAATTGATGCACTATGTCAGCGCATTACTCGCCTTTACTTTGATTCATGTGCGTCGAATAGAGTGTACAAAGCTTATCAAAATCATTGGCATCACTGCCTACACATTACTGCAGTGGCGTATCTAATCTGAACGTGTCTGTTCTGAACGACCAGTGACTCTTCAGCCATGCAGTAACTATGTTTTACGTAAAGGACGGGAAATTCAAGAGAAGCACAGCAATACAGGTTAAAGGGCTCAAATAAATCATGCTATGAAAGCGCGGAGCGAAAGCGTATGACTTGGAATGTGGAGAAAGGGATGACGAAACTGTTATGGCACTGAGCATTTGGTTGTCGTCTACGATTTTTCGAAGGGACGCTTGAAGCCCTCTGGAGGTTCAGATCTGCTCGACTCGTCCGGCCATTCGCCAGTACCGTCGATGAGTCCCGCCCTCTCCAGTTCTGCGAACCTCGCTTTGAAGGCGCCGTAACCCATGCTGACCGGCGGCTCCTCGCGGATAGGGAGGAACACAATGTATTGCGGGCGTGCGAGCTGTGCCGCGGGCTCTGGTGGCTTCCTGCGGAAGATGAAGTCAGAGAAGAACTCCCGGCCGCTAGGGAGGGCAAGCTCTGAGGGTAGGTCTTCCAATACTTCCATGTCATCATCCTCCTCCTCTTCCACTGGCTCCTGTACAGCCATTTTCGCCCACTTCCGCGTGCGCTGTGAAGAAGAGAGCTGCAACTGACTAAGTTCTAGGGGCCTTTTAAGGGCGCGGGTGATGTGTGGTGCAACCATGTCATACGAGGGAGTGCTTGAGGACGGAATGGCAGGAAGATCATTGGTATATGCTGTGCGAATACATGGTGTTCGGACAAGCTTCAGTTTTCCCAACGGGGGTGGCCAGCCTTCACCCAGAAGATCTGTATGGGCACTGTTGAAATGCTCCACAAGCTGTGTCTGTCGTGCAAAGGCCTGTCCACAGTCTTGATAACATGAGTGCTTAAGTTCCAGCATTGCCTCTCTGTCAATAGAGTAGTATATTCATAAACACACCTTGTGCTGGACATGGTATATGGAATCTAGACATATGGCTGAGCTCCATGTGTTGCTGGAGGTCATGAAGTGTTGTCTGTGTATGACCTGTGCATCGCAGAATTTGACATTCAAATGAGCCCTAGAAACCATTTACATTGTTAGAATTGCACTCAGCATCTGATGATGAGATAAAATGTACCACTTCAAGTTCAACCTTTCCACAATGTAAGTGGAGATGCTAGAATTGGAATAAGTATGCATGAGCATGTGGCCATGTTCATTGAAATACATGTCAGCCCAGATTTGATATTCCCCACTATGTTTGCATAACTTGAAGCTCCCATGTACCCAGTGCTTTGTGATGTGCTCTAAACTGACAATGATGTCAAAAAAAGTTACAACACACCTCTTGGAGTGCCTTCCAGCAATTAAGCCTTGCACCACAATGACCCCATTCACAAGGGATTGCAGTCAGTTGTATCACAGTCTGAGCAATGTTTACAAGGGCACTAGAGGGAAAAATGATGACCATGCATGAAGCTCAGGTAAACAATATTTTCCCAGAATTTTTGCTTATATATGGCCAAATTAACTTATATAAGTCTCCACATAACCTGAATTATTATTATATAATAATTCAACATCGAATTTCCCGTAAATTCAAATTGATAAAGGTTGGATTAGCCACGGATTAGCCGGACTTCACTTTACAATTGCTCCGACAATGACCTCAAAGACATCTGTTATCACCAACAGCTTGTCATTCACCCATCATAAGTGTTATGCATTTCACCCATTGGAGTTCGCCCGCAGGCTACAGTACTACAAATATTTAATGTGACAGGCTGGCAATACCCAGCAGAGAGGAGATGAAAAAGTCGCTGCGAGAGAGTACTCTGGCCACCCCATGCTATTTGCACACTAGTCATGCTCATGTTGGAAATGAAGGTGTTAAAATCATTTGTAGGAGCTCCCCTCCACGCTAGCACCACTAGTATATCCTTCGAGCTTGCTGCCACCGCGTCGGTCACTGTTCCTGCCCTCCCTACCTGCTTGCCCCAGACTCGTCTATAACGAAGCTCCACCTGATGGAGGTCTAATTTGACACTGAGTCGTATTCCGCTAGTCTCCCACTGCAAGCACACTGATGCCCTGCTCTAGTCTTCGCAAGCTACAGATATCCATCTCTGACATACCTCGCACCCTCGGACGCGGTGGACCTGACCCGTACAGACCGCTCGGAGCCGTGCCACTTCTCCCGGCCTCTGTTCGCGAAGGACATCTCGAGGAATGTATACTATCTTAAACAAGCATCCGACTCATCGACTCGCCTCGACTCGCCAAGCTGAGTAAACCCCATCCAGGCGCCTGTTCCATACTCACATAACAATCAAAGAGCAACGCGAGAAGCATTATGAGCCGCCAGATGCTAGCAAAATTATCAGGTCATTGCATGTGGCATTCCATCTTTGTTACAATTGTTGACCTTTGAGCGATTACGGTCACTAGTCCTTTGATCATTGCATCGTACACTTTACCTCAAATTAACAAACAAACCAGACATGCACACGCCTTGGGTTCGTTCATACGAGTCACTACAAATCCTGCAGGAACTCCTTCAATAACTGCATAGTGTGCGCGGGATTGGAAACCGAATGACCGATGGTCCGCGGATCAGAATATAGCTCATAATCATTGCCGCCCTATGGTTAAAAATATGAGCGCATTATAGGTGGCGCGGAGTAACATGATACATACCTTGTACGTCTTGTCCCCAAAAAAGTGTATTTCCTCAAATTGCTCGTCTTCGACGTGACGCAGACAATACGTTTTATCCCACCCATTCGGAAATATATCGAAGGATATCTTCCCACCAATCGAATATGTGAGGCCGTAGTCTGCAAATTTCTCCCGGAGAATTGTCACAAAAGCAGCCCGGACGCCATGTTCCTGCGGAGAGCATGTCGGATATCTACGAGCCAAAAGTGTAACGGAAAGCATACCTTGTCGTACTGCTCGAATTCATGACGTTCTTGAATTCTACATATAAGTGAGCACGCGGTGAGATTTACAACACGCCCAGGTGTCCACTCACGTTGCATTCCTGCCTATAGGGCTCACGTTGACCATTCCATTACGGAATTCAATGAATGTCCCACTGGGATGACTTAGATACGAGATTAAATATAACATAACAATTAAACACTTGCCGTTTGATCGGGATATCAAGGTCAGCAATATAATGCAAAATGAAGTTTGCCAGTACTTTGTAGCGCTCTTCGCCTACAAACTTGATGAACGACTGGGATGGCAGGACCTTCTGTAGCTTATATGCGGTTAAGCCATTCTCCGCAAAAACGTAATCAAATTCCTGTATGACTTCGCGTAGGATGAATAGGTATGCGACATAGTTGTGAGCAATATGTACCTGTGGACCCCGGCACAGCCAATTGCTCAGAGATCTTGACAAGGTCCGATCCACCAACTACCCCAATAACAACCTTTTTGCGCAATGCGCGCAGTAATTCTACCATCTCAAGCGATACTACCTAGCAGTTGTTTTGAGGGAAGCAGCAGGCAGGCAAATGAGGTCTGATCACATACTTGTCGAGCCGGGGTCAGAGTTTCATCAACATCGAACAGAATCAACTTTTTCAGTGGGCGATCAGAGAACGCTGCTGACGCCATGCTGCCCAGAGCCAGCGTCACCACACAAGATGGGGAAGACTGGTGAAGATTACTCTGCGTCAATTCGTGGGGGTATCCGTCACGCGCGTCTCGTGACCTCGCACTACGATGCGGCCCAGTGTCACGCAGAACCGCTATGACCAAGTCTCGCACTGTTTGAATAGATTTCGAATGTATCGTATAGCCTCTCAAATATGATCCCTACTGTGTCGGCGTCGATATCACCACATGTAACGTCTGGCAGCTTATCATCTGCGTCGACTACAGTTCTTGAGAATGCACGCCAGGAAGCCGTCAAGACATTCGTCTGAGGAAACGCGGAAGCAAATCGTCGAGAAGTTTGCGCGGGTGTTTAACAGTTGTGAGCCCTATGACTGACTAGTCAATGTGACGGAGGCTATTCTCCTGGGCATAAACTGTATGGTAATAGCAGGAACCGGTGCTGGGAAGACAATGCCGTTTACCATGCCTCTCCTTCTCAACAATTCTGTATGAATTGTATAGGATACATGCGCATATAGTGACTGACGCGCTGTAGCTGCAACGCGATCGATGCACTTGTACGCATTAGACGCAACTGGTCACAGAATCGTCACTGGTGACATCTGTTATGCGTGATGGATACCCCCCTCCCTCCTTGCAAAGTTCACCAGACTTCATAGGAGGAAGCAAGCATGGATTTTTGGCTCTCCGCCCACCAAATCCGGTAACTACACGTGATTCCTTCCTCCTATTGAGGTCTGGTTACGAGACTAGCCATACCGTATAGTCAAAGTTGTTGTGTTTTAGACTAGTTACCTGTAAATTCTACTTGTTGCATCGATCTCGTAGTTCAAGTTGAATCCTCGGATGCATGAATGGAAGGATGCGACGTTCCATGAATACCACACCAGTTTTTGCACAACATGTTGTCAAGGGCTGTTTCGAACTACGGGGAATATATGCCAGGAGAACAGTGAGGCGAATTTTCTAGTTACAATAATCCGTGCACAAGTGTTACCGAACACCACCCAGAGCCTTGAGTCGAGCTTCAGCAGCCCGCGCCCTGCGCTCCCGCTCAACTTTTGCCCTCATTTCTGGCGTCAGCCCCACAATTCCTTCACTAGCTCCTGCAGAGCCACCTAACCTCCGCGGGCCACTCACCAATTCTGTCCGCTTCCCTGATTCTTGATTGTTGAAGGGAGTTGTTGATGTAGGACTAATTACGGGCAATTCTTTCTCCTTAGTTTCACGATCTTTGATGCGATCCTTCAACCCTTTCCTCCGCACTTTCTTCTTCTCGTCCCTGTTATCCTCCATGTCTGCACTGAGGATACTGGGTACGCGTGCACCTTTCTCGATCCCAAGCCAATCCCACCAGTCGGGATGTATGGCAGCACAGCGCCGATAGACATCACGAACAGCACGACTACGAGCTAGGTCGTAGGCAGTGCGTCTTAAGCCTGCCGGTAGAGATGAACCCTCCATGTCTGACTGATGTGGGTCCTCATCTGCACCTCCGTTCGCTGGAACATCGAGAGTGGGATCGGCATGCATGTCTTCAAGCAGCCACTGTGTTACATCTGGCTGTCCAGCCCGAGCGGCGACTTGGAGTAGTGTTCCGCCTCTCTCGTTAGCCCACTCTGGGATCTGGACATTGATGTTCCCAAGATTGTTTCCTTCGCGCTCCCAAAATGTTTTCAAAGATTCTAAGCGACCTTTGGTGACCATCTCGAGGAGACGATTCCAGTCGCTACGGAGCTGCTGCTCCTCCGCGCTCAATTGCCGGGGTTTCTCTTTTCTTGCCTCTGGTGCTAGTTTCGGGGCGACCATAGTTGGCTTTGGCCTTGGCTTAGGAAGGGAAGCAAGATATGCTTCATCTTGCTCACGGAGTACGTCTTCCGTGAAGTGGGAAACTTTCACCCGAGTAAGTTCCAAGAGGCAGCGATACAGTTCTGATTGTGTCTGCCAAAAAAAACTCAAACCCAACCCATGATACGAGGGATATTATACTTACCGGACGTCGCGTAGGGAAAGGGAATGTGCGCAGGCGTGAATCACCTAAGCATAAATATCAATTCCTCTGAAGATTATAAATACTATCACAAGCATACCTTTCGTGATAATAGCTCCGTCGTAATCCAAGAAGATTCGTCTATTCGACACACTGGCACGGATCCATATAAGCTCGCATTGTTCTATCTCTTCTGCCCAATCTTGGAGAAGACTGCGGATGTCCTGCGTGGCTTACTTGAGTAAGGCATACTCTCGTTGACATGATGACAACAACACACATCTCGGAGTGCTTGTTCTCCATATCGACGCAGCATAGCACCGGCACTGACGGCCTTGCTTTTCGCGTTGTCATTGACTGATTGAGAACCACCTTGCTTCCTCCGAGCTATTTGTATGCTATTTAAGCACGATATAAACACATAAATAAATTAACGGACTGGTATATCGGTGGAACGTCTTGTGTTTGAGAACTTCTGTGTCAGGCTTTAGTTTCCTAGGTTTCCCTTTCTTTGTCAGGCTACCCTGATTTTCGTCTTCGCCGTCAGGATGTTTCACACGGACAATGGCACCAGCAAAATGTCCACCAGCGACTAGAAACATAGCCCAAGAACGCCCTTCCTCTCCACCTTTCTGCATTTCCTTCAGTTCATTTAAGTATGAGGAAGATGATGCAAGAGGAAACAAAGCCTTATAGATACCAATCTGAGTAGACGGAGGAGAATGAAACCATGCTAGCGGTGTTTGGGGAGTGGATAGAGACGCAGATGTAGGTGAAGGCGATCGAGCTAAAATTCGAGTTCTTTGTATCAAAGTTGCGACTGCATCTGAGTCGTCAGATTCGCCGTCGGATGAAGAAGCGGAACCGGACAGGGAATCCTCCAGCCCTGTGTATATGCTCAGCGCTGAATATCAATAGTTTAACAATAGAGGTGTACCATCCACCAGCAAACCAAATTGGCTCTCCGTGACACCATCCCCCCCGTTCAGCTTAGCTTTGACATTATATCGATGCCAATCAGAGCGGAAGTGATACCGTTGTGCATCGACATCGACAAAGGCTGTACCAGGACAGACGTTGCATGCGCGAGCACCCGTAATATTAGACGGCTGCGAGGCAGATGATTCAGAATGAGGGCTGGAAGAGGCCTGAGCTTGATTGACAACGTCGCGGGGAATGATGGTATCCAGCAGGTCCTTCGGGAGTGAAAATATATGATAATACGGCGCGAATGACATGGGATAGATGGCAGACACAGGGATAGTAGAAGGCTTGAGAATCCGATGGGTAATGGAGCTTTTAAGGTGTTGGATATGAATGACTGCCGGTGACTCAGAAAATGCAGACAATATGACTACTAATACAGATTGCACTGCAAATTTCTTTTCAAAAATTTGGAACTCACATCTATATTTTTTTTTTTCAAAAACCCCGCGAATTGTTCGGCCTAGTCCACGCCTGTTAAAAATAATGACCTCTCGCGAGTGAGAAACATTTATGATTGTCGGCCGCAGTCAAGACAGTCAGACGCGTTTAGCCACGAACCAAATAGGACCAAGCGCGTTGGACGCCTTACGCGAGACGCGTCTCATTCGCGTTCAGACACCGTGTCGCGTTTCCTTCTCTCATTTCAGTATTATCCAATTCCCTCCAGCGATGGCGACAAATTCACTGTCTGCTAAAGAGAATGTTCCTCTAACCAAGTCGGTATTTTCTGTGTGCCTCGTTCGTACATCTGGTAATAACGCGAAGTCTACGCCCTCAGCGTGATTGGGGAGACATTCAAACCAGATTCTGATACCCAGCCATCAGCCAAGAGACGGAAGCTGGGGCCATCTGAATCGTCTTCAAAGCTATCGCAGTCTAGTCAGCAGCCATCGTTTGCTGATGTACTCGAGCGACTGAAAGAAGAAGCGGGTGAAGCAAGAGGTGCGACGCGTCCCTTTGCACGTACCAAGGTTCTCTATTTACTCGAGTATACAGGTGCTGAAGGTGGTGCGGATTGCTGGGCGAGGCCACCTCTATCTCTCATTGACGAAAGCAAGGACAGCATTGGTTGGCATCCACTTGTCTTGTTTATGGGCTCCTCTCTAAGCTCGGTTTAGTGTTCCAGCAGATAGATGTCGAGGAGACGACAGACTCACATAATGGTGGGGCTGGAATAAGAATGTTTGGTGTGACAGAGGTGGATACACTCTACGCGAATCTCTTCATATGCACTAACAAGATCATTAGGCCGGACACAGCGTTCTGGCCACAGTCACCGGTTTTCTTCCGTATTTCTATGTTGCCACTCCTCGCGGCTTCACAGAAAGTGACACATTCGCGTTTTGCGATCATCTTAATGTGAGTGTAATGCGCTGTCGCTTATTTGTCAATTGATGAATCGCTTTCAGAACGCTGGCTCCGGTGCTGTCGTTCGTGGGGTCGAGCTTGTTAAAAAGCGCAGCCTGTGGGGTTATAAAGGCGATGATTGGGTCATGTTCATTAAGATTACCCTCGCAGATCAAAGGAGCCTCCCCAAAATCAGAGATAAGTTTTTGTGGTCTCACCGGAACGTAGCAACTGAACTATCCTTTGCGTAATTACGGCTCTTTGAGAGGGGTGAATGTCACTTCCGCGATCTGTTTATAGATGCTGTCCCTACTTTTGAGAGCAACATCGCGTATACTTTGCGCTTCATGATTGACACGAGAGTGAGTATATGCGAAATCCTCTCCCGTCTATGTAGCTGAAGAGCCGGAATCAGGTCGTTGGCATGAATTGGATCGAAATACCCGCTAAGAAGTATAAACTTATCCGCGGAGAAAAGAAGCGTTCTAAGTGTCAGATAGAGCTCACTGTTAAGTAAGAATATCCTAAGGCATATGTAGAGGTACAGGTACACTGACGAGACGACTAGATGGGATCAGTTTGTCTCGCACACTCCGGAGGGACAATGGTCTAAAATCGCCCCATTACGAATCCTCAGCTTTGATATTGAATGTGCGGGCCGCAAAGGTATATTTCCCGAGCCCAGCATTGATCCAGTTATCCAGATCGCAAATATGGTTACTCGTCAGGGTGAGTTCCACATTCTTTTCTGAATCAGACAACAGATTGAGCACTAACGTGTGCGTTCTAGGCGAGAACAAGCCGTTCATCCGTAACATTTTCACTCTGAATACTTGCGCACACATCGTTGGCTCCCAAGTTTTATCATTTGACGACGAGGGGAAGATGCTAGACTCATGGAGAGCATTCGTTGAAGAAGTTGATCCGGATGTTGTGATTGGTTATAACAGTTCGAATTTCGATCTGCCATATCTCATGGACAGGGCCAAGGCGATCAAGGCAAATATGTTACCGTACCTAGGCAGAATGAACGGTGAGTCGGACACAGAATCTTCGCGCCCAATAGAGTCGTGATTGTGGCTGTCCAGGTGTCAAAGCGCAAACTAAAGAAACACACTTCTCGTCAAAAGCATTTGGTCAGCGTGACTCAAAAGAAACTGCATTGGATGGACGCTTGCAGATTGATGTTTTGCAGTACATGCAGAGAGAACATAAATTGCGTAGCTACACGCTGAACTCGGTTTGCGCCCAGTTCTTAGGAGAGCAGAAGGAAGACGTGCACCACTCTGTCATTACTGACCTTCAAAATGGCGGGCCAGAGTCACGGAGACGCTTGGCAGTGTACTGTCTCAAGGTAAGCGACTCGATTAAAGCATGTTATACGTTTGGCGCTGAGTGAACGTTAATAGGATGCGTACTTGCCCCAACGGTTGATAGACAAACTTATGTGCTTCATCAACTACACCGAGATGGCGCGTGTCACAGGAGTTCCCTTCAATTATCTCCTGTCCCGGGGACAATCAATCAAGGTGTTGTCGCAGTTATACCGCAAGGCTAACGATGATGGTTATATTATTCCATCACTGAAGGGCGAAGGTATGACCAGTCGCTGTGCGGTTGAATCAAACCATGGCTGATACACTAGTCTGCTGGTAGGTTCCGATGAACAATACGAAGGCGCCACTGTCATTGAACCAATGAAAGGATACTACGATGTCCCGATAGCTACTCTTGATTTTAGCTCGCTGTATCCCTCCATCATGATGGCGCATAATCTCTGCTACACGACATTGGTTGACAAGAAGGTCATCGATCGCCTTCATCTTGTGAAAGATGTTGATTATATTCAGACTCCAAATAATGGTAAATCCAGTTGCATGTTGTCGTGTATCTCACGATATTCATTGCTCTACTTGTGCAGACTTCTTTGTCACATCCTCCAAGAGAAAAGGTCTTCTTCCTACCATTCTTGAGGACCTGATTGGTGCTCGTAAACGCGCGAAGGTCGACCTCAAGAAAGAGACCGACCCGTTCAAGCGTGCAGTGCTCGATGGCCGTCAGCTTGCCTTGAAGGTATGATGTACGCTACTGCACAAATCCTACGTTAGCCTAAATCGTCATACACAGATCAGTGCAAACTCTGTATATGGTTTTACCGGGGCGACCATCGGAAAGTTGCCTTGTTTGCCCATTTCTTCAAGTGTTACTGCGTATGGTCGACAGATGATCGAGAAAACCAAGCAGGTGAACTGTAGATCATTGTCTTGACAAAGCGGTCGCTGAAACCGTTTCAATTCCAATCATAAAGGAAGTGGAGGCTGAATATTGTGTAGCCAATGGCCACTCGCACGATGCGCACGTCATCTACGGAGATACTGATTCAGTCATGGTTAAATTTGGACCTACTGACCTCCCTACCGTCATGGCTCTTGGTAGGTTGACTATCCGAATCTTTGAACTCATTCTCAGCTGTTTTTCCGTGTAGGGGCCCAAGCGGCAGATTTTGTAACTGCGAAGTTCATAAAGCCCATCAAATTGGAGTTCGAGAAAGTTTACTTTCCATATCTGCTAATTAGCAAGAAGCGATATGCCGGCCTATACTGGACAAGACCAGACAAGTATGACAAGATGGACACAAAGGGCATTGAGGTACGGTCTATCTCAAGCTAGAGAAGCTCACGAGGATGAATCTGTGTTACAGACTGTCCGTCGTGATAACTGTCGACTTGTGTCCACTGTCATTGAAACTTGTTTACACAAGATGCTTATTGACCGCGACGTCAAGGGTGCCGAAGAGTGAGGGTGCCACCAAATTTCTTGCTTCTCCTCGACTTAACACCTATTACAGGTATACGAAGCAGATTATAGCCGACCTTCTCCAGAACAAAGTCGACATGTCGCAACTAGTGATCACCAAGGCACTGGCAAAGGCTGGTAAGAACCTCCATCAGACTATTTCAAGTCAACCCTTGCTGATACGCCCGTTCGATATAGATTATGCTGCCAAACAAGCCCACGTTGAGCTCGCTGAGAGAATGAAACAACGAGATGCAGGTCTGTGTACAAGTTATCTTTTCGGATCGACTACCTAATCTCATCATCTTTTAGGTTCCGCACCTGCTCTGGGTGATCGTGTTGCCTACGTGATTATCAAGGGCGTCAAAGGTAAGCCAAACTTTCTAACTTGTTCAGATTTGAGTCGAACCCCGCCATAGGTGCTGCGGCGTATGAGAAGTCGGAAGACCCAATATATGTCTTGGAGAACAACATACCTATTGACACAAAGTACTACCTTGAGAATCAGCTATCCAATCCACTCATGAGGATCTTCGAGCCAATTCTTGGGGAGAAGGCAGCCTCTCTACGTGAGTTGGCAATCTTTTTGATGTTGAATCATTGTTGAGACCCTTGTCATAGTATCTGGGGATCATACGCGGACAATCCAAATTGCGACACCATCTGTGGGTGGGTTAATGAAGTTCGCAATTAAAACAACAACGTGTCTAGGTTGCAAGACACCAATACGTGCAAATAATAGTGTTAAGGGTGAATAGTGAGACAGGTTAAGTATGATTCGCTTTCATATTGATGGTATGTACAGATGGCGCTGTGTGCAATAATTGCCGACCGAGGATGAGCGAATTGTTCCAGAAACAAGTAGGAGTCATCGCAAACGTGTACTAGATCCTCGTTGACTGTGTATGCCTAGGTTACGTCAGCATCAGAGTTGCAAGTACGCTTCTCTCGGCTGTGGACACAATGTCAACGATGTCAAGGCTCGCTCCACCAGGTATGTCCCTCTGACGAGCTTTCAACATACGACTGAACTCCGTTGACAGGATGTTCTTTGCACAAGCAAAGACTGTCCAATCTTCTACATGAGGAAGAAAGCACAGAAAGACGTTGAGGATGCGAATACTACCTTAGAACGATTTGATCACGAAATCTGGTAATAGTCTCCGCTACTCCTCTCTTGTCGGATATTATTTTGGATCTCGCACGCACGGACATTTGTACCACTATAGAATGCCCTGTATATGTTATCACCACTGTATATCATCGTAATCCGCTGTCTAAGGAAACGGCCTCGCACTGTATTGACATAATACACCTAATAAATTGGCGAACAACGACAAGTGTCTTAAGTCGATGAATCTATTCACACTAATGAGTGGGGATATAATTTCCGGACTACTTTGATGTCGTGCTTAGTAATGAAGTGAATAAACCGTCTACTTGTTCCTCGTGCCACGCTCCATGAGAAACGGGGACAGGTACCATAAAGTTTTGCAGCTTTGAGTGAACTTCATACCTTAGCTTCCTTCCCTTACTCGCCTTCGTATCAACCTTCGACTTGCGCTTTGCCCTCCTCTCTCTTTGCTGGGTCATCCAGTCTTGCTCTCCGCCTTGTGGCTCGCCGCCGCGCGCCTTGATGACATCCCGGAGAAGCTGCTGATAGAAATCCAGATCGTCAAAAACTTCTTCGTCCTCTTCCTCGTCATGATTAGCCTCATGGCTTTCATTTTGAAGATCACCAGACCCCAGGCGCTTGTGCTTACTCCTTCTAGTCCTCGTCCGGTGGAGCAATTTGTCGCGATCAGTTCTCAAGACCTCATCGATCATGGTCACGATCCCAACTTTGTCCTTGTCGCCGGAGAAAGAAGTACGGCTGCCAAGAAGAGCGCTAGGCGCAACCGCTTGAACTTTGGCAGACCACTTCGCTAAAGTCTGGATGAGGTGTATGTGGTAGTTGGCCTCGAGCGCAGAGGCGTCCGCGGAGAGGCCACGTAAGTGACTAGTATAATCATGTGGTTCGCCCTGCCCATGGTCGACCTTCCGTCGCTTACGAGAAGGGGCCGTTATGGGCTCGTTGCGTTCGAGAAGAGTCTAAATTTGGGTCAGTAGTGACACAGCAGTAGGGGTAATTATGACACCTCTTGTAGCAAAAATAGCTCTTCAGAGAGTGTGGTAGCCTCGCTGAGCATATTGTTGAGGGCTTCACGAGTTTTTGCGCGCGACGCCAGATGTTGAAGGTACGTACCCTGTGGATGAGAATTGCGTACATCAGCCAGATATGGTATGAATATACCAATGCAAACATACGGTGGGTAGCTGATTCGCCGCGGCCGCAGTTTTCTGTAATTGAATCCGTGCATCTAGCAACGTGTCCCAAAGGGCCTGACCAGCAATGTCTCGGTCAGGACCGGAGAACCTCACGGCGACTAATCGTGTGACTTACAATTTGTCGGGAAACTGCAGTTCCCTTTTGACGGTCGGCTTCACGAGTTTGGCGCAGGGTTGACGCAAGGTCTTCATGTGCCGGAGATTCGGTATTGGTTCTATTGGCTAGGGCAACAGATGGCGACGTGTCTGTGTGCTCAGATAACGCATTCTGGTGAAATCCAGACCTTTCCTCGGACTCATCCTCTGAAGATACGGAGTCACTCGCCGCTTCCTCTGAGTCGGAATTATCTCCACTATCCGACTGGCTTGTTTCAGAATCCTGGAACGAGCCCCCTTCCTCATCGTCATCATCGCCCTCATCTCCACCCGCGTCTTCGTATAGCTGCGTGCGCGAGGTACGAACACCATCGTATTTGGGGTCTGTCACGCTGTCGTGCAGTTTACGTATAGCAGATGGCCTGCGCAGCCGGCAGAGCCCCTTGTAAGCGAATACATGAATGGCAGTTGCACAAAACGTACTCACGCTACTTCAACATAATGCTCTGTTGCTGCTGGGTTATCGATAGCAGATGCATCTCCTACATCTACACCAGCCCGTAAGTCTTCCGGATCGAGGTCTGGTGATCTAGTCCATTCAGCGTGATCCACACGCGGGCACGGATACACGTACCGACAGGAGCGGGTTCAGACAGCTCCGCAAGCTGCTGGGCAAGAGAAAGACCTGCAAATGTGTTTCGCGTCAATGGAAAGGGCACTGACTGATGAGTATACCGACGCACGGGGCATGCCTCAACAGCAGGGGCAAAAAATGCGGAGAAGAGGCAAGGGCTTTTGAAGAAATGCTGCGTTCGCGTAGGACGCAAAAGATATATGATCTAGAACAAAGATATGATGGATGCGATGAAGCGAGGCAAAGGGGAGGCTGATGAGATCGTGTGCGAGAATGCGACACGGGCGCCTTGCGCGATCTGAGTCTCGGGACGGCGCTCGGCCGTGAATTCTCTGTCCGGAGCATTTTGCGCTTCACCCTCACCACCTCTCCCGCCCAGGGCACCCACCGCCAACCTGGATTATTACCCTTACAACAGATGTTTGAGCTGTCCTCAACATGGCAAAAAAGAACATGGTATCAAGTATGTCGTCTCCCAAACACTTTCATTTAAATGTCAAACGCGCATGCTTCCTGCCTCCCTGCTTCGCACACCGTGCTTCCGGCTCCTTCACACTACGACACAGTTGTATTAGTGTGCTCTCGTTGACGGAGAGGCCTCTTTTGATCGTTCCTATCGCCGATGGCTTGTCTACTTGCACTCGTGTGCCCCCTCGTCCTAGATACTCCGCGTCCCATCGCACCTACCACACCCTACGTCGGATATAGTATTTGAAAACGGTACTGATCACCGTTCGCAGATCCTCCAAAACAACAAGCTCCCTCAATGTCGCCTTCTCACTCCCATATCGTAGGCGCCGTCATAGGCGCAAACCCTCTTTCTCCAGAGGACGACGACGACGATATATGCCCTGTTTGCGAGAGCGAATGTACTTGCCAGAACAGAGCAAATCCCGCACAGAACAGCAGACACACAGACGTGGCTCCTTTGTTTCCCTCTACATCTTCTTCGCACGACTCCGTCGCGTACCCGCCCACAGAAGCAACGGCCGGTGTGCAGTCTCTCAAAATCAAGCTCACACTCCCTCCCAATCTGAAATTTCGCAAGCAAAATGGTTCGAGACAGTCCAACGTCCTTGCTTCTCAGTCTCGTCCTTCGCTAATCCCATCTCTTCCCGAGTCATTCGACTTGCCAACGACTGGTTCGGATCCGTCGCGCGCCAATGCCCACCGTTTAGCGCTCGGCATCCTCGATCCTGTTGTTCCCAAACGCAGAGGCCGTCCACCAAAAGTCATCGTCGCAGCTCGAGAGACGGGGAATGCTGTGTTGCAAGCTTCCCACAAAACTGCAGTAGTTGGAGGCGCCGAATCTGTCTACGCACGCGATCCTGGTTCCTCGGGGGATGTACCTACTTATGCACACGGCTTAGGCAAAGGCAAGAATGTTTCCAAATACAACCCACCGAGGAAGAGTGTGGCTCTCGCAAAACAGAAGCCCAGGGGCAAAACCACGACAGGCCGAAAAACGTTGGCTGTAGCAAACGGGAAAAACATACTCAAGGCCTTTCCATCCGGTAATTTGAGTGACGATTCCGTCTCTGGACGGTTTCCTACATTTATTTCAGCAGCATCCACACCATCCCACACCAGCTCGTCGGAATCTTCAGACTCGGACTTATCCTCCTTGGACTCTGAAATTGAAGAGGAGACGCGGCTGCTCGTGCACGGAGAGCGAGGGAAGGCTTATGTTCGAAAACATTCCACCAACAGCTTGGCTGAGAAGAAGCGTCAGCCTGGATCCGGCGATTGGGATATGCAGTCCAGGATGACTACCTCGAATTCTGAAGAAGACGTCGACGTTGGCATCGACAGCAGTAGTGCTGAGGAAAATGAAGCATCAGAGGGCACTGATGACCAAGTAAGCGAAGATGACGACCTAGATGCCGACACAGAAGGTGGCGGACTGGATGACATCGACCCGGACAATGAGGAGACGAGCAGTAGAATCGGTGTCACTTTCGGTGACGGTGCAGCAAGCTGGAGTGACGACGATGACGAGTCCTTCGATGCGGATTTATTCTTTGCCAACCTTGATGGGTCGTCGGATTCAGATTCTTCCCCAGCCTTACGTGCTCATGACCCTTTCGACTTTATATCTGACATGGAGTTCTCAGCTTCACTTTCGGCTGACGAGGAGGATGCCCTACTGCTCATGGACATTGATCCTACGGTCCAAGTGCGGCGAGGGAATGGCGAGCTCGAATTTGGGCTTGAACTCGACAGTCTCTCGTTTGGCTTGGATGGCCAATACCTATTTGCAGGTTCAAGTCCGCAGAGCCTCTTCGATCTCGGCTTTGGGTTTCATCACGCCAATACCGATTTGGAAATGCAGGTCGAGACTCAAGAGTCATCCGAGGCGTTTAGCGATGGTACCGAAGCGATCAATGAAGTGCTGCTCGAGGAGACAGACGGGGAGACGACGGAGGATGAGCTAGTCGATTCGGACGGTCTTCCCAATCGGCTTGCTATGATGATCTTTCGGTGGCCGCATACAGTCTCCACGATCAATCCACTTTCTACGGTCAGTTCTACCACCAGCTTGTCACCACAGGCTCCACCCGATGCCTCGGAGAGCGTGCGGATTGCTCTTGCATCTTACTCTGCCCAGCAAGGCCCGCCTACTACTCCTACAGCTGCTGACATTTTGGCTGGGAAGATTCCGCTTGATGACTTCGAGGATGTGGAGATGGATAAGTCAGTAGGAGATGCACAGAGAAGACGCCGCAGTAGTGGGCCTGTCATGGGTGAATTCGTGGCAGGTTCTGAAAATGCACAGCCATCTGCGGTGATTAATGGAAGAGGTCCCTGTATCCCGAGTCCTTTTCCTAGGTCTAAGGTGAGGCAGCGCAGTTCATTTCACGAGGTGGAGTGCAGCGACACCAGTGCTGATGCTGTACGTGCCCTTGTGTCATATGCTGTTGAAATTTACCCTAACCCTTCTGATTTTCAGGTTGAGCCGCCTTCCGAATCTGTCTTGTCCTCTACTCAATCCTCCGATGAGAACCTTCCGCATTCCCACTTACTCCCGCCTGCTGAAGTCATTGATTTGGACGATGTGCTAGACTCGTCCATTCTAGATCCAGAAGCCATGTCTCACGACCTTGACGATCAGCCCTACGAGTCGCTGGAATTAACTCCGAGTGCAACCCCTAGTGCACATATCCACAGTCTTAGCCGTTGGGATCGAATCCCCATGGCGACGTTTCGTAGGACTCGAGAGACAGCCATTGGATCTGCTGTTGAAGGGTCCACTTCTGACACTGGCCTCAGTGTATATGGCGGCATAGGTTCCTTAATGGGCACTACGATGTTGACACCATCCAAAGCTCATGACAAGAAGTCTAGTTCGGCTCGGAAACGGTCGAAAGCCAAAACTTCTAACATGCTCATGTTACCTAACGAGTTACTCCCTCTTCGAGACGGAGACCAGACGCCGAGACCTACAAGCCCCCGTCAACCATTCAAGTCGTCGAAAAAAGAAGCGCGAAGAGAAAAGGCAATGATGAAACGCAAAATGATGACGAAACCCGTTCAGCACCGCCACCAACCGCCGTACCGCGCGCATCACCATCATCCCAATCACAAGACCCGTGCGTCGAGTTCGGCGCAACGCATGGGGAACTTTGCTGGTTCGAGCTCTTCCCCTTCGTTTTGCCTGTGAATAGTCCAGGCGAAGCTTTCTGTATAGGTGTTGAAAGGAGGTCGTTGCTCCCGCACTGTATATTCCCTTTCTCTGTAGCTTGTCTTCCAATCCCTCCCGTGGCGATTGGCCTCATTCCTTTCCTACTTTTTTTGATCCTGTCCATCAGAGCCTTTTCATCGCTCCTGCACAATGTCCTCATCTGTTCTATTTCCTGATCATTGGTTCTATGCTGTATGTACTGTGATGAAACGACACGAATTGATGAATGTATTTTACCAACTTGAGTGTACAAATTTTAAACATTCGAGCTCGATCAAGGCTAAGCGCTGCGGTAATGTGCATGATGAGACGTGCGAGGGTGAGCGCTTGATGCAAGGTGACTGCGGCCGAGTGGACTTGCTCTCGGCGTCGGCGTAAATATCGAAGGACAGCGTCGCTTGCTCGCCAACGCTATCCTCTCCTGCAATGGACGCTTTTGAAGACGAGAATCCGTTCGAAATAGAAGCCGAGCGCATCCACTCGGATACGTCCTCGTCGACCAGGGTCACTTTGTCGGAACCAGCTTCACCACCCTCTCGTCCATCTCGTGTCCTGTCTTCCCCGCCTCAGTCGCCGCCTTCCAGGCGACCAACTTTCCCCTCGCAGGGTTCTCATAGACAGCCTCAGGTCTACAAGACTGACTTTTGCTGTGTACGGGATCAGTGGCTACATTCCGGAGAGGATGTGGAGATACTCGTAGGTCGTTCTTCTGCGCCAAAGTGTGACCGCTATTACCTCTGCTTCTCTTAGATTTCAGATGCACTCAAAACGTCTGTGAACTCCACCTCGCCCTACATTGCGTATGTAATTCGGGCAGGAGTATGTATATGCTTTCATTGATCTTGAGCGTCTTGGTATCTGACTGAGCCGAACCAGAATGCTGAAGCCCACCACCGATACTCGGAATTCGAGTCCCTACGATCAAATTTGATCAAACTATACCCCACACTCATTATTCCTCCGATACCTTCCAAACAAACAATAGGGGATTATGCCGCAAAACAAGCAAAAGCGAAGGAGGATGCAGCCATGATCGCACGACGGAAACGCATGCTGCAGACATTCCTTAACCGAATTGCTCGACACCCAATACTGTCAAACGAGCATGTATTTCATAGGTTCCTGGATGGAGAGGTTTCATGGGTGCGCAATCCTATTATCCAAGCCTCTTGTAACATCATCCTTACTCAGTACCCAGTCGGAAGTCTTGCATTCCCCTCCAATATCATTATTGCCCAAGAACACTCTGAAGGCACCGTCACATAACCCCACGGACCAGAATGCATCTGCCGCATACGCCGCGCTCCCTAACCCCTCTACCGCGCACCCTTTGCGGCGACCGGATCAACGGTTTCTTGATTCCGAGACGTTTACGAATAAGTTTGCAGCCCACTTGAGTGGTCCAATGGAAAAGGTGACGCGCCGCACCATGAAGCGGTGGTCTGGTCAGTATCTGCCATGCATAATGGTCAGTCCCAGCTATTGAACAATCCTACGTTTAGATGTCGCACAAGACCATGCTGAGCTTGGTGCAACGCTGAATGGATTTAGTCTCAATGAGTCGGGACAGCTCTCGACAGCAGTTGAGAAGACTGGGCAAGCAATCGACACCACTTACATGTCGACTACCAGATTGGTAAGCCAAGTCACTTTGCTTCAGTCTCTCCCACGAGTCTCAACTGCACTGTGCTAGCTGCAAGAATTTGAACAAGACTGGGCAGAACCCTTGCACGAATATAGCCAGTTTGCATCCATCATCAAGAAGCTTCTTATATATAGGCATCAGAAACAAGCGCAATATGAGATGACACAAGACCAACTCGAAACCAAGCGTGAGCAGCTAGAGGAACTTGAGAAGAGCGAGCGGGAGGCTCAGAGGTTAGAGGAAGCGCTCAATCAAGGTCGTGTGAGTAACCTGAGCACATCCCGCATACGGACCGAGGAGAATGTGAACGGCAATGGGAATTTGGAAAGCCAGGACGACTCGAATGGTGCGGATGCGCCTCAACCTGAGCCCTCCGTTTATCTTCCTCCACATCCTGGTCCAAATCCTGTAAGGCGAAGAGCGCCCGGAATGGGTTTTTTGAACGCTTTGAGTTACACATTACACGGAATGATGGACGTGGATCCTGAAACAGCGAGACGGAATTCGATCAGCAAAACCAGAGAGACGATCTCCCAGGTCGGCTTTATTGCTTTGTATAGGCCTGTCCAAGTTTTAACATTGTTTCCCACTAGCTGGAGGATGCATTACGTCTCTCAGCTCAAGATTTGAAGTACTCGAGCTCGACTATTCAGGCTGATCTGGATCGGTTCCAGAGGCAGAAAGTAGCCGATCTGAGAGAGATGGCCATCAGTATGGCAAGAAGTCATCGCGACTGGTGTAAGAAGGCAAGTCACTCCATAATCTATGTCTTTCAAAAGCCGCTCAAATATTTGGGTTTCCGTAGAATCTTGCTGCGTGGGAGGAGGCGAAGGCGGAAATAGCAAAGATCCCAGATCATCCGAACCAGGTACCACATGATGGGACCAACGGCAAGGCTCCGGGGAACAGAAGAGATTCTACAGCAACTATCAACGGTCGTTGAGCGCTGTCAAGTTTGAATTTGCTGGATACTGTCCTCTCTGTTTTGCTTAGTATTTCTCGTTCGCTCTACTCTTCAGTAACTTATTTTCTGGAAGATAAATTTTGGACCCTATGTGGATTTTGCTTTTTATTCTTCGTCGAAAGCCTGCCTGAAGGATAGTTCTCGTTTCTCGCTTTCTTGCACCTTGTTCTGCTACTGACATCCCTGTCATTGACATACACCCCCCTGTAAGTATCCCATAATGCGTGTCACTGATCTTTACTCGTCTGAAATATCTGGCCTAGGATCCCGTTCTCGTAAGTGTAGTTGCATCCTGACCTTCATGTGTTCTCAGACAATCGACTGGTGCAATGTGTGAGCCTTAGTTCTTGCAGCCGATCGCGCCCGTACAGCCGGATGTTAACGTGAGTCAGCAATGAAATACCATGGGTCATTGAGGGTAATATAGGTGCACGGTCTGACCCGCCATCGTCGTGATTGAAGATAGTCTGATCTTCAGGCCTCAGGCCCCATGTCTTGTGTTCGTCTGCTGATCAATCAACGTACATGTACGCTTTAAGTCGGCTCAACATTGCGCTCATTTTGCTTGTCCGTGTCATCTGTCTCAGGTTCAAAATCAGCTATGTCTTTACTACATCTTCTGGTAACAGGCTGTAGTGAACGGTACCTCAGATCGGTACTTTATCAATGGCATCGTTGAGCTTTCCAGCTTTATTCGCAGCCGTGCAACTCCAATTCACCGTGTATTATACACATCCCAGCTGATTATTTCTCATGCCGATACGCATGGTGTCAGTGACAGCAGCGGACATTCACACAAAGTGGCTTTCTTCCGTCATCAATTGTCCTTTTCAGAACTGAGTGCCTGATCCATGAGATATCATGTACTTTACATCAACGATAAGGACGAACGCTGGAGAAACAAATCTAGGTCGTAATAAAATGGTACCGGGAACGTGGTCGTGAAATACCGAGTGTATATAATGTAGTGTAATCCATCGTGACGTGGGCCATTACTCCCTGTATGAAACTCATGCTAGACCCACCATCCCTTGAAAATTCGCGCGGAAAATTGTATCGGCAATTAGGCTATGCTGGGAACTTGAGTGACGTCGTATTTTCCGCTGGGACCATTGCCTCAAATCTAGAGCCTTCAGAGTCATGTACAAGGACGGTAGCGCGAGGTATCGAAGATGCTGGGCTAACTGGCTCAGTGGCTGAATCAGCAATGGAGGACGTGTCCGAACCAAGATATGATGATTCTCGAGGGAGGGACACGGGGTTGGGTCGAGGAGCCGAGATTGAAGAAATACTGGATCTTGGGCTAAACAGGCCACCCAGCTTTCTGGAAACGGGAGAAGGCGCTGCAGCTCCAGCAGAGAGGGGCGAAGTGATAGGAAGCGGTGTGTTCGCGGGCGTATCTGGAGTACTCCACAGTTTGAACCCCCATCTGGACGCACTTCCACCGGCCGGACTTGAAGCAGAGACAGGCGGGGACTTCATCGCTGCACGAAGGTCAATCCGAGAAGTCTGCTCCCCAACACCATTCTCCGCGATGAATGTTCGAAGTGCCCTGACGCACATCTCGGATGCTTCCTTTGCTTCATGCGCCTCGCTAAGCTCGTGCCTGGTCTCCTCTAGCTGCTCCTTAATCGCCGCCAGGTCCTTACGGAGCACTTCCATTTCCATAGCATCGAACGATGGCCGTTCCGGTAGCGGAGGCGATCCCAGTCCGAACAAGCCAGACATACGCCTAGAATGTCTATTTAGAGGGGCACTAAGATCACCTTCAAAGTCTGGGGATAACGGCCATTGACTGCTCTCCCCCAAGGTGGGCGCACTCATCAAACCCGGATCCGAGAGGGACGCAATTCGACGATGGCTAGAGCGCCCCGCTGGGCTTCCGGTCAATGGAGTAAACGAAGCACGCTTCGACGATGCAGGTCCATTGCCCATTGTTGCTCCCGCCCGAGACAAATCCAACGTTAGATTGGATACTTGGCTCACCCGCCTACTCTCCGTCTGCAAGCGCATAAGAGCCCGTCTGTTCGTTCCAACATGAGTACTAGGACCTGTCAGCTGCCACGGCACCCTCGTACCTGCTTTCTTCCACCTTCTGTCGAAGCATAGAGATGGCCTCCTCGTCTTCTTTGTGTTGATCCAGCGCATTAACTAAGTGGCCCTCCGCGCGCAAACATTTCTCCGTGATAGTGTGCAGCGCCTCTTTCAAGTTCTCTTCGCGATACTTGGTCTCGGAGAGCTGCACAGATAGAGCATCGCGCTCCTTGGTCATATCCTCCAATGACATGCGCAGCTGAGTGACAATCGATGCCAGTACGTGGGTGTCCAGAGATTGTGGCCTCGCATTGGGAGCAGGAGAGTTGGGCATTGATTCACATTCAAGCTGACGTTCGAGCTCGAGGGTCAAGTCGATGGAATGTGGTCGTGTCGAGCTAGCGAGCAGCGTGTCGTGGTCAAGGGGGTTATCGAAGTTAGACATCGCAACGGCGACAGACATGGTGGCGACGAGTGTTGAACAAAGGGGCAATGTGAAGGAAAGATGAATGATAGAGGCTCGGGCCTCCTTAAGGTGTAGCTGCCGCGCCAGCACTGGACGATGGCAGTGCGGTTCCAATGTCACTGTAAATCTGTACAGCTGTAACACTCGTGCTAGTCGCAACAAAAGACGCGTGCCACTCCATCTGTCTTAGACCTGTCTGCGCTGGAAACCGCCGGATCACACTCCCTTCATGCGTTGCCACAGACGATGACCCAAGCATTCTCTCTTTGTCAAACCTGACAGATCACAGTGACAGAAATAACTGAGCTGGTATTCTATACGTACATCCGTGTTGACCCATCCGAATGTCTATCATATCCATATGTACACTTAATATACAGAGCGCGGCAGTTTCTTTCTTTCCAGGACAGCATAGAGCAGCCATCGTCTAATAGCAACACTCACTTCATCACCCGTGCGTGAGGGGATCAACAAAAACCACCCCGTCACGCTCATTCCAGGGGTATCCCCACATGTGCAACCACTCGCGTACTCCTGTCGCGAGACGCGCTCGCGAAGCTCCGCGAGCAGGATCTTGTGTTCCCGTATGCTTCTCTTCGCCGACGATGAGATAAGCTAAAGACACATGACTTCAGCATTGGTGCAGCCAGTCAATATGTGCCAATCATGCTCACCCAGGCCGTAACAATGCTCGCGCTCGAGCTGCACATATCCGACGCATCAGTCTGTAATCTCCTTATTGAACCATAACATGCATACCGCGAGCAAAAATTCTTCCAAAACCTCCGTGGCTTCTGCGGAGTGGAGCCCATGCAGGTCCAACATGACTTCGGTGCGCTCTTCAGGCGTGAGCTTCTTATCAGCACTAATGCTTTGACTGGCAATTCCCAGGCACACGCCAAAACCACCCCCGCAGATGCGTCCTCGAGCAGTGCGGTCACCATAGTCATCCGACCAGCTAGCATCGCGTGAGCGAACAGCTTGCTCAGCGAGTCGTGCCCGTTCGCGCACAAGCTTGCCAGCCGCCTCGACCATCTCCGCACTCATTTTTGCATTGAGATCATGTCCTTCTCGGCTGAAGCGCTTCGCAGCGGCACCGTCGCCTCTCCTCCAAGCGTCAGCGGCGCGCGAAAGACAGGCATTGCGTGCCGCACCGAGCCGCAAGGCTCTGCTTGATGCTTAGTATTCTTTCATAGCAACGAAAATGCAACTCACCTCGCACGGTATGCCATGTATAGGCCATTGACTGCCTCACCGGTGGGTAACGTGGGGAGAAGTGAAGGAGGACGCAGCTTGATCCGAGGAGACGGCTTTGGCGCAATAATAGATGTATTGTGGTGCAAAGGCTCAGCTGCTGCGCCCATAGCCTCTCTGCGCGCTACGATAAGTGCAGGATCCTTGGGTGGTTGGACTTGAGGCTGACCAGGGGGTGTACGTTTGACTGCTGCCGCAAACCTAGTGCGTCCCGGGTCCTGATATCCCCCATTATGGCCATAGCGGTAGCTACCACGACCATTCTTACCCTGCTCTCCAGCAGCGGCTGCGTGATTTAGCGTCGGGAATTCGTCCGGCGAAGTGCTGCGCTCTAGCCCGCTTACATTGATATCTGTGCGAGCCATAGCATGCGATAAGCTGGACACATCGATGTCTTTTGGTAGGTGATGCAGGAACTCGCAGTTCTCGCCCTTGGCGCATGTTCCACGTAGCCAAAACCTACAAAGGGCTCGCTCGAGATCATGACTACATCAAAGCGAAACAACCGATGAGAGCCAGCGCCATTAGCACGATAGAATGATCACCCTCACCTGAAGCGACAGTCGGCTCGAAGACATTCTCCTGCGAGGAAGTACCTGCATACTCTATTGCCACCCGGTACGGTGCGGCCGTTACCAAAGCGCTGGCCATTTCTCATTACTGGTGCACCAAGACCAAATCCGCCCCTCCCACCGCGAACCACCCCATTCTGACCATCTCGAGATATCATTATCACTCTATTGCCCATTGACTGTATCCTAGGCGGACCACTGTTTGTAGTCGGGCTCGCCATAGAGCGATCCACCAGCCAATTCATAGCGCGCTCGAATTCATACCCATTGTTAGCCAACGCTTCTTCCAATTCTGACGGGGCGAGAGTTGCCCCAAATACCGAGCTGAGGACATCAAACGGTGTCATTCCATCCGTGAGCAATGCTGCAGACTCAGAGTCCACCTCTTCATTGTGCTGAGAAAGCCCCTCCTGCGAAAACGATACGTCACTGCCTGTGGGACCAGCGAAAGGGACATCGTCGAGCGATAGGGAAGGCACAGAGCCAGGTGAACTACCCCACTGAGCATCAAGCCTGCTGGAAGTTGGATGAAAGGAACGAGGGAGGTTACTTGCTGCGAACGGGTCGAATGGATCCTCCTCGTCACTGTGGTCATCTGGTCGCATAAACGATCGAAGCGATGAGCTCGGTGTAAGCGCGCGGGGAAGAAGTGCACTCTCGGGTGTCAGGGGTGCCTCAATGGCAAGTTTCGAAGTCGGCCTCGGTGGGTTGTGGGCCCATAAATCTGGGGACGGCGTCTCCGCTCTAAGTGCGGACAGCGATCCCGGGTTAGAGGATGCTGCAGAGAGTGGACGAGGAATAGGTTTGAACTCGTTAGCCTTTGCGTTCAGTGATCTCGGAGAACCAATCGGTGATGCAGGAAGACTGGCAGTGAACTGAGCATGTGCGATCAATGGCGACGTGCCTGGCGACTCGCTACGCGCAGTAACATAGGAAGATGCCTGGTTCTGAGCACCTAGAGGTGAGGTCAAAGGGGTATGTGGTCTGCGGAAAATCATGGCGAGGGGTGAGCTGGGTGCAGAATTAGGTGTATCTGGCCGAGGAATAAGACGAGCGGAGTGCGTAGATGCACGAGATGAAGGTCGAGATATGGGACGACGAGTCGGCGTGAGGAACAAAAATGGAACATTGTCCATGTCGTCCCGGTGCTTGTGCATGAGATCCAATACATGTTGTTCGAGCTAGAGGGACAACCTGTCAGCTGCAATATAGAAGACACTGAATATAGTGGGCTGGGACATGATTGTGTACTAGCGGGGGGGGGGCCGCGGCTAGGCCACGTCGCACTTGGTAATCACTCAGGGTTCGGATGAGTCGTTACGGACCCCCACGCAGCCGCACTTTGTAGAGAATAGCCTGACGAGGGCACCGTTTACGTATTGTTCACACAACGTGGAAATGGAGAGAAGTGATACAAGAGAGATGGGAATTCAAACAATAACCCACCTCTTCTTCGTCTATGGCCCCAAACGACTCCTGGAGAAGCTTCTTCAATTCATCCTCTTGTTCGCCGTCTAACAGCGCAGAGACTCGCCCAACCAGATTCGCATCTACACGTGGGTCGTCCCCATCGGGGTCGCCGTCATAAGCATCGGAAGGCTTGTACTGGCGAGCAATGGCAGAGAGCTGCGCGCGCGTGTGGGGAAACTTGGGCGGCGCAGAGCTTGACGAATATTCATGACCTATTACCGGTCCTGAACGCAGAATATCGTTAGAAGGAACAGGGATGGATATCGTTGGAGGGGCAAGCATGGTGAAGTTTGGGTGGGAGAAACCACGCCCGCATCACGACGTCGACAAGTCGCAAAGATGAAGTTTAGATTCTGGCCCTCATTTATGGCCAATCATGTATTGGCCGACATAACAACCCGATCGCCCTCTTCAATTATCCCGCAGTTTTATTTCGACCTTCCCTGTATCTATGTGAAGCTGCACTTGCCGCCTGTCCTAACCCTCATATTGTATCTTCAATATTCTCAGCATAAATCCAGGCAATCTAGTGGATTCTCCACTAGGTGTTCTCAAGTTGCATCAGTCGCCGTGCAGTCCAGGCGCGGGTGCAAATTCCACGTGGCACACCGAGCGAATATAAGTTATCAACATCACAGCGCTGGCAGCACTAGGTGAATGAACTTATACCCTTACAACATTGAGCGAAGAAATTGAGTGAAAGTGATACCACTTGTTGTTTGCTATCCATAAGTACGATTCGAGGCCTGTCCAACTCGAAGCTTGCACTCACCCATCCATCCCAATCGGAGCTTCAAGTCTGACTCGGAGATTCTCAAGCTGGCCTCAAGCGACTCTAAAATGTTCGCGGCGACTCTCTGAAAATGAAACGATTGAAGATAAATCTGCGAATTGCTAGCACGCAACAGGGCAACCTCATCACAATGAGAATCTGAGAGCTTTAAATACAGCCCCAACCGGCGTACAATCCTTTCAAGTCCTTGCGCACGTGTCGCCACAGCATTTAGGCATCGTTTCCAAATGTAGAGTCGGTCGGCTTCAGCCCGTAATGGCCAGCGTCGGTTTTGACCCACATAAAGATCATCCAACGCTTTGTTGCGGCTGAATATTTGCGAAAGTCTAAGGCATCGGTGTATGCACCAACAGGTGCTTCACTCTGGTTAGTGACTTCAAGTTCCATCAGTGCACTATTACTCATCTGATGGGAACTTGTAAGACACAGCGACCGTTCAACTGATCTCTTTTGCCAAGCTGCTTAATAGACTTCCCTGGGTTGGTCGCTCTCCATCTGCATACTATGTCGTCCAGCAATACCCTTGTTAGCCGCAGTAAGCGGCGGAACATTCCATTGTCGTGCGCCGAATGTCGAAGGTACAGTTATATGTACGCGGTTGTGGCGCGCAGTCAGCTAATTGACGCTGGTCGGTTAAGGCTTAAGCTCAAGTCCGTGGTCGTCGTAGTCTGCATGGGATGTAACTAACTGCGATCTTTCTTTACAGGTGCTCTCGTCAGTTCCCGTGTACAAGCTGTGTGAAGAAAGGATGTGCACAGATCTGCCCTGACGGTTCGTCATCAAAGCGGTCTCTCTGAATGGCATTGAAAAATTTTATCTGAACAGGTTCCCTCACAACGGGAAAGGGGAACAGGTGCCAAATTTGAACTCATACAAATTTATCGAATTTAATGAGTGATGTAGATTCGTTCTAGCGAACACCGAGGTTCTCCACGAAAAGATAACTACGCTGTCCAATCGCGTCAGGCAGCTGGAAGATGCGCTGCAAGAAACATACAGCCAGATTTCGCTCGAACAACACCCTCTGCTATCGGACGACCTTCTGCAGATCAAAAGGCCCCTGGAAAGGGAGACTCCGGAGGAACTTTCCCAGGAACCAGAAGCCGACACTACCGACGCTATCGACGCCATCGGCTCGTTGTGAGTCTTGTGCTATTGTCTAACGATATCCGTGAGCTTATGCTACCGATACATAGACGTATCTCCAATTCTGGCCATACCAACTTCTTTGGCACTACTGCCAATGCCTGGGTAAGTCTCTTGAGTCTGAATTTCATCAATATTGGTTTCCTGACACTCTCCTCTAGTACCTGTTGCAGGTATGCCCGCTTTTATGTATATGTCTGTATCTCTTTGAAAGAATGCGGCAATGTAGAATGAAGAAGAGGACGAGGAGGCGGTTGAGAGCCAGCAGGGCGTTCTACACGCAGACGAGCCCTGGCTTAGCTCCACATTCTTATTCTCGTCGGGTGTCGCGGCGGACACCACCATAAACATTCGGCAGTCATTGATAGGCCATCTACCAGGGCTTACGGAAGCCCGTCGCTTAATTGAACTCTACTTCAGGCATGCTGCATGGATGTACGTGGTTCGAAACTTCGATCTAGGATTCCGCCGTGCACCCATTGACGGCCTTGAATTAGGTATACGCCAGTGCCGGAGACTGAATTTCATACGAGTATTATGCCGCGATTTTACGAGCAATCATCCTTCGTTGATCAAGATTCTATGGAGTCGCACAAGCTCGCGATAGTGTACTTTGTATCAGCCTTAGGGTCGTTACTTGATCTCGACAAACCTTCCTACGACACATTGGAAGCCACACGTTTTTATCAGCTTGGTCGAATTGCTCTCTCACAACACTCAATATTAGAACACCAAACCATTCCCGCGATACAAGCGTTGGTCAGTGCCAGTCCGATGTCCACGGAAGCTTGCTCATCGCACGTGGGTAGATTCTGATGTGCCACTTCATGTTCTTGTCTCATATTGAAGGCCCAAGATGGGCTTTAATGGGACTCGCGGTCAAATTGGCTATGACTGTCAGTTTTTTAAAAATTTTAACCGTAATTACATTATAAATAAATTTTCGCAGCTCGGTCTTCGTAAGGAGACATTCCTCGCTAGAGTTAATCTATACTGACGCTTCAGGTTACACATAAGATCGCGATGGGAACAAATGGAATATGGACCCCGACGAAGCGTTCAAGCGGAGAATGTTATTCTACGAACTTCTCACTTATGACTCATGGCAGGTGAATTTGTCATATCTGACCATTTTGTCTTCTCGTCTGATAGTATCTTCGTTTGTATAAGTCTCTCACCTTCGGCAGGCCCCCTTCTCTCTCGATGGCATTCGTCGATTGCCAGATTCCCGAGAGCGTGATCACCAAAACAGATCAGGGCGAACCCGAAATGAGCTGTACGTCCAATATTATTGTAAATTCGCCAGACGGACATTCCTTATACAATGGTTCGGCTTTTCTTGTTATCAGTCAGTGCCTGGAAGCATCGCTTCGTATCTCGATGCCAGAGCATCGTGCACGAACAGGCGTTTGGAGCCCGGGTAACTAGCTATCGTACCATTTTAGAGCTTGACAAGAAAGTGCGAGAATTCTACTTGCCCCCTTCTCTCAGGATCCCGGGCTTCGGGGGGTCCAAGGGTGGGCCGCAAACTGCACAACCTCTAGAGCTTACCATGCAAGCGCATTGTGCATTCTCAATCAGGGAGATCAGTGAGCACAGATGTCCACCGAAGTCTAATCTAAGCGACAGCCGCTCACAATATGCTATTTGCAGCAATCTTCTACATGCACCGCGGATTCTTCGCCAGCGCGTTGCAGGAAAATCCGGAAGATCCCCTCGGCAGCAGATATGCACAATCTGTCCTTGCCGCTTACAATAGTGCTTGTGCCTACGTTGGATTAACCAAAAGTCTACACTCACGATTGCCAGCACTCATGGAGCGTATGTGGTTTTACTTCACTCACGTGTTCTCTTGCGCGGTGAGTCTATATCACATTCTGGCGTGCTGGACTTTAATTAAATCCTGTAATGAAAGATTGTTCTTGGCGCTATCGCATCGAAGAGTCCAAGTATACCACTCGCACGATCTGCCCTTGTGAACTTGGATTCGGCTTGTAGTCTCTTTGAAGATATGAAACACAACCCGCGTGCGCAGAAAGTCCTTGTGAGTACAACAGCTGCCAGTTCTAGGGCTGTAGTTAACAGTATACATTGCGTTGCAGCCTGTCTTACGCAAGCTGAAGAGCAGGGCTGAGGCGTCCATGGCTGAATATCACTCGAGAGCCTCTGTTTCGCGGAATATTCCTCAGACGGTCGTGAAGGATGATGAGGAATTCGCTGCCCTCGGCGGGAAGACGCGATTAGTATCTCGCAAGTCGCCCTCTCTACCTTCCCCGACGATATCCCACGGCAGCCGTTCACAAGGCAGCCTCAGTCCGCGCGACCTGTCTGACCAGTCATCGCCGCAGAGCGTTGTGCCCCCTGCCAGTGGACCTCTGCATCATCCCAATATAGAGGTCCCGGCTACGTGGCAGCACGGCTACGCTCACTCGCCTGAGATGTACGGATATCCATCGTATGCGCCCTTTGCGAGCTCCGCACAGTACTGGCAACCAGACATCGGTCAAGTGGGGATGCAGCAGAGCCTTGATCAACACGACATGAACCAGCAAATCATGGGCATGGATGTGTCGGCCATTCAGCACGCAGCTTATGCCCACGTTGATCCAATGGCTGCGCAGTACATGGGGACTTACACTTCTGAAGGAGGCTCGCCAGTTGGGCAGATGCAACAGCATGATACCCAGTGGCACAATCTGTGGGCCCAGTTTAATCAACCGTAGGCATTTGTTGGTGCGACGCATAACTTTATATCATACTCCAATCTACCCTGGTTTCCTTGCTTACATACTGAGTGAGTATCCCTCAGCCCTGTCTGTCCCTACTATCTTGCTTTCACATGTAATCGAGTGAACTCTTGATATGAATGCAGGTTTGATGCTGTGCTTCCCTCACCTGCCAGTGAACCTGCACATTAGGTTTAAGTATGTCACGCGCGCCAACAATTTGGCAGACTGAGAGCCACCGTGACAACTTACTATATATGGTAGTCACTCAACGACGGGGCTGAGGGGAGTCGGGACGTACAGTATATGCGATGTCGATCCTCCAGCACCAAGTAGATCTAGTTACAATGAGATTAGGACAGTTGAGTGTAACGTACGTATGTATCGTACATGTGATACATCTTGTCCTGTGGGCGCAATACACGTGACTACAGTCTCGGCCTTGGAATGTGGACATTGATTCTTGAGTGAGAGGTTGTGGCAGCGGTGACTACTGCGTATATCATTTCAGTACTCTCAGTTGAGACCGAATTGCTGCTTTCTGTCTGTTGGATCTGCTTGCCTTGGAGAATACAACTCTGTTGTTGCACTATTGCTCGGAGTGGTCTCAGCTCGGACGTGGAGATGGATGTGGCTGCGACGGATTCCCGGACTCGACACAGCGTCGCGCTGAATCCTACAGCTGCAGGTTTGAGAAGGTATGTTGTGTTGTGAGATGCTAGCCGTCTTTCCTACAGTTTTCCTTAATGTTCTGCAGTGCGGTTTTATCGCAGTTGGCCATATGTAACGTCCTACTGGTGCTAGCCACGCATTCATGCAAGATCTATCTTCTTTCTGCGGACGTTGGTGTCTTCTGGTTGCTTTTACGCGTGCTGGGATGTGGCGCTACGGGTCTTGTGTGTTGGACTGCTGTCTCAGGACAGCTGCGGAAGAAGAGGGCAGTAGAAGTGTGTCGAAACTCATCTTTCGCTTGAATGACACTCTGAATCGTTCCCAGTGGTCCGTCCTCGGGATGTCATCGTTGCTCATGTTTTTGAAGCAAGCTGGACTGCTTACTGCGCTGTACCGACTGCCATCCACTCGGTATGGACCTGTATCACTCATATATCGAATGAGCTTCTCATTCATGACCCTCAGAGTGATATTAATCACCCACTTCTCCGCTGTCTGGCTGAAGACACTTCTTACGCCAACTTCTGTGAGATAACTCAGTATTGTCTCTGGGCAATCTTTGACTTCTTCATGCAGTTCTTCACAAGTTGTGCTGTCGTATTCGCACTTGCCATCTCATTCTTGTCGGACGCTGCTTTTTTCGGTGAAAACTTACGCGAATTGCTCCTCGCGTATGGCGCTCTAGTACTAGAAGCTATAGCGTCTGCTGCCCTTGATCATACCCAAAATGTCCTTACATCTTCACTTGGCGAACCTATGACTCACGTAATGAGCACTTTGGGAGCGTTCATATTTAGCGTCCCCCTATACATGCTAAGACATGTTATGGTGTGTTTTGGAGCCGAAGTGTATCATCATGATCATACTTACTCGTGCATCCAGGCAGAGGAGGCATTTCGACCTTCCGTCACTATCGGTTCCTTGGCTTACATCCCTCTCCTTGCATATGTGTTGCTCTTCCAAGCCCCGAAGGCAACACGGATTGTCAAGAGCCCTTCAACTCCTTCGCAATTCCTCGTATACTCATACTTAATGACAGCGTTCAGCTCTATGTTTATAGGACGAGTGATATTCGGCCGAGCAATCGTCTTAGCTGACTTCCCAGTTGCGGCGTTGTTGATGTATGGTCAGTCCCAAAACGTCGTTCCACTTTACTCGCAGGAAGCTCATGTATTTAGCCCTCTATCCTCGGCTTACTGCCGCTTCCGCCCCAACTCCATACGCTGCAACCTCGCGGATCGTGAAAGCATATCTGAAGTCTATCCTGTCAAACCCAGAGTCGAGAAAAATATTTTATTTTCTCATGTTAAACATGTGCTATATGCTCGTTCAAATGTTGTATGGCGTTTGGACTAACAGTCTTGGCCTCATTTCAGACGGTGAGTCGGCTACACGCAGGTCTGTTGAACGGACACACGATAATGTCATTCACTTATTACAGCCATTCACATGGCATTTGATTGCATGGCCATTGGCGTGGGTCTCATCGCCTCCGTTATGGCCCGATGGCCACCAAATGAGAGGTTCACGTACGGGTATGCATAGCGCCTTCTAAAGCGATTCAAATCACTCAGGATATTGCCTAGATATGGTCGTATAGAGACGTTGTCCGGGTTTGCAAACGGCATCTTTCTAATCCTTATATCGCTGTTCATTGTTTTCGAGGCTATCCAAAGATTGTAAGCATATTATCGGCACGTGAATGTTGTGGCTTACATTTGCCATCTACAGACTGGACCCCCCTGAGATGAACACTAGCCAACTGCTACTGGTCAGCTCCTTAGGTTTGGGCGTTAACCTGTTTGGTATGTTCGCCATGGGAGGACACCACCATCATGTACTTAACGTTCTCCACTCTATCCATAAGCTGAGTTATTGACTGTTCATCACCCAGGGCGGCCATTCCCATTCTCATGGTCATAGCCACGGCCAGGAGGAGAGGTCGTCGCCCGTGACCTCTCATCAACACAATGACCACGAAAGCCATACACACTCGCACAACGATCACTCACATTCACACTCTCCACATCCGTCTTCCGATTCGCGCGATCATACTCACTCACATTCACACTCTCATACACATTCAGCATCGCCGCTCGCTTTGTCTTCTGGTGGAACGCTGCATTCTGACTTACATTCGCACACCACGGATCCCATCATCAACATCAACGGTATTGACTTACAGATTGCATCTGATAGACCATCCCACTCTCACCATCACTCCCATACACATTCCCCGTCGAGTACGCCTAATGACCATTCCCAGGATTTACTCGTTGCCATTCCTCATGGCTTGCAGGCTATGGACAGCCCTCTTACACCCAGCTACAAATTCGGGCATGACGTACACTTCGAAACGCATCACGCATCTGCTCATACACCTAATTTACATGATCACTCCCACGTCCACGATCATGCACACGAAGGGCATAGCCATAATATGCGGGGGGTCTTCCTGCACGTCATGGCGGTAATTAACACTTCATCTCTCCATGTAAATTAGATGCTTACGACGGCGATTATGCAGGACACTCTGGGCTCCGTTGGCGTCATAGTGTCTACACTATTGATCCAATGGTACGGATGGACAGGTTTCGATCCAATTGCATCATTGTTTATAGCCATTTTGATCGCTGCGAGTGTGATCCCCCTGGTGATTGACACGGGCAAGGTGCTAGCGCTCGACATCTCCGACCGAGAGACGAAAATACAGAAGATACTATCGGAAGTAAGTATCCATAGCCGTAACACTCCAACTCTTGCTTATGGTTTTGTTAGCTCTCATCTATCGAGGGCCTTGCATCCTATACGTCGCCTCGATTCTGGCCTAAGGATGACTCGAGCATCATCGGTAGTATACACATTCAACTTGATGTTTCTCCCTCGTCATATGATCCGACAGGACCACACTCCAGCAAGCGTACCGTATTCGCGAATGTTGATCGAGTGGTCGAACGCGTAGACAAGATGCTCAGGAATAAGATACCCGGACTGGAGGAGCTGACGATTCAGGTCGAGGGTTCCACCACACGTTCATAGGATGCATCTCACACTGCAAAGGGCCCTATGGAAATATACATTTCAGACGATGTACTGTACTGATCATAGACTATAACAATTGCTAATCGCGCTGCACTGCGCTCCCGACTGACTGTCCGATGGTGACGCACTCTACAAGAAATGTAATGAAACAGACATGGTATATAAACGCTACAAGCATTTGCGGCTGCAGCTGCAGCACGACTGTTCCTGCTATGAATAGTTTGGACATGGACAAAAGTGAACGTATTATTGCTCGTTGAGATTATTCAGGAGAGTAGTTAAGCATCGTTTTGTGACCATATCACCCTGTATATAGCGACGAGAATGAGTAGAGACTTGGGCAGAGATTGAGTGAATATACCTTGAGAAGTGCAGCAAAAGTATTATCGCGCAATGGCTCAGGGAGGCAGGCTCTGAGAGCCTCTCTTGCCCTGATGATGGGGAAATATTCAATAACAGATTCATTGGGCGAGATGACAGCGCCTCTTACCTCAGATTATCGCTTAAGCGCAAGTAACATCGAACGACATGTTTGAGGAGACGAACAGCCTGTGTTTCTACGAGTTGATTGACCATATTGCTGAGGACCGCACCAACGGCGTAGAACCGCTCGTAGGTGTGGCATATGTACGTGAGCCCAGTTTCATCAAGCAGAATCTTTTGCACGATGAAGATGGCGACAGTTTTGGATAGCTCGGAGCCGGTCTCCATGATGCGGAGGCAGAGAGGGATGATCTCCGTGGACAGAAGGAAGTGGATGACGGTGTTGTTGTCGTTTTGCTGAGCATACCATGCTTAATTAGCGAAAAACTGAATCAGGGAAAGCGCCGCTGTACATTACCTTCACAAGGGCGCCAATCACGCCGAGGGAAGTGAGGCGCAAGTATTCAAAAGGTCGCGTCTTGGAAGTAGTATTCAGGAAAGGATATAAAAATAAGGGGATATGGGCTGCGGAAAACATGTGAATCGCAACGCACAAGAATGCAATCTCAAGTTATATGTTTACCATTGAGGAACAATTGACGGGTGTCGGGGTGCGAAGCTACACATTGTAGGAGGGCTAGGGCATTGCACACCCGGTTCGATACATGGGCAGTGAGATTAGGAGGCGATAGTAATGGGTAGACGGAAACAATTTCTTGAAGAAGCGCGGGCATGACGCCTGTATAGCAAAGATTAGAATGACTTTCAAAACGCCAAATCATACGTAAAACAAGCAAGACTGACCAAAGGAATGCCATAGGATGAGCGCGAGGTGTTCGTACTGCTCCCTCTTCTTGCTCAGTTCCAACAGCGCGGCCTCGCGGGTGTTCGAGTCCAGCAAGTCAATGACCAGAGGGTAAATTTTGCTGTCTTCATGGGCTCGAATGCCGGTGGCTGGGGAGGGACCGCCGGTGAAGGAGATGGCGGATTGGTGAGCGGGATGAGAGAGCATAACAAGCTGATTAGACGGCGTTTCTGCGTAGCCTGCGCCAGCACTGCGAGAGTAGGGGTTATACTGTAGGTTGTGCTGCAAATACGACACAGGTCTGGGTGAGATGAGCCCCGCCATGGGGAGCAAGGAGACCGTTCGGAGCAGACGCCCGCACTCTCAAGCGACCTCACTGCATGCTGACTAATCGAAGCTCCGGAACCGGGTATTAGAGTGAACGAATGAAGAGTGTCCCTTGAATTAGTCTGCAGAGAATATCGTACAGTATCTTACTCCGACACAGACACATATGCGATTAATAGTACAACAACACCCAGAGAGGGGACAGGAAATAATCGACCCAAGTACAATGGCGTTCACGTACTATCAAGCCGTACTTTCACTCATGAGGGCGACAAGGTGTTCCTGTCACGACATCATTGTTAAAAGTTCACAGGCAAGAATGCAACAATGTAGCTGACCTTGTCTTCGGCACTGTCGGCGAACATAGACCAGGGCTCCAGTCCACCTCCGAATTCGACGGCAAAGGAGTGTGGAATTCCTTCCAGTTCTTCATAACCTTCCCGCCACTCCCTGATGTGTCGTACGCTCTTGAGGTTCACCGTTTCCGTAGGCTGTGAAATCTCCTGGATTGACTGTGATTCAGCAATCATACACGGGCGAACGGAATAGTACATACCTCAGGAGATTTAAACAGGTTGAGCATATGTTCATCGAGCTGGAAATATCGTCGTTTCCACGCTGCGCATTGCTCTGCTTGGATCGTAACCCATCCTGTCAGCACCACGCGACTGTTCCCCTCAATCTTGACCTTAGCCTTCAGCTGAGCCGCCATTGCCCGTCGCTCTTGCAAGAGCTGTCGACGCTGTCTCTCCTTCATACTGGAGGCCTCCTTTGCACGTTTCACCTGCTCTTCCCTCCATGCTTGTGCCCGACGGGTTTCTTGAATGCGCTTCTCCCTCGCTATCCTCTTCGTCTCTTCTGCATTCATCTTCCTGCGCTCCTCCGCTTCTCGCTCCTCTGCCTCCTTCCGCTTCCGTTCCTCGGCGATCTTGCGCAGTTCCCCCTCCAGTGATGCCCTACGCTGACGCTCTTCTTCCATGAATCGCCTCAATACCTCTTCCTTCTGCTGCTTCAAGCGAGCTTGGCGCTCGGCCTCTTCCTTGCGTGCTTGTTGTTCCTCCCTCTCTTTAGCCAGTAATGCCTCCCTACGTTTCATCTCGATCTCATCGGGGGATGATGCGGCGCGCCGGTCAGGCAACACTCTACCTCTAGCCACTGGCAATCGATAGGTTGCCATTGGGATGTGCGATGGTGCAGGATAGGTGTGCGTGTGCGTGGAAGGCTGGTACACACCCTTGGGTGGGGTAGGAGGCAACGCGGTATCCAGCTGTGTCCCGGGCACGCTCATTTCGAGATTAGATTGGGATGGCCGAAGCTGTCGCGTGAGGAAAAGCGCGTTTAGCGGTTCGGTCCTTTCCTCATGCGACACAGATGAATCCTCGGAGGGCTCTCGGGCGAGGTGAGAGAACTGATAGGCAGTGTAGATTTGTTGCCAGCTCTCGATCTGTCGGCAACGGGTCTTGAACGGTAGGTCCTTCGGAGGGGTCGGGGGCGGGTTGTCCTCGATTTCCTGAATATGCCTTCGCTTCTTCGATATCAGTCGGTCATTCTTAGTAAGTAGAGACCTTATGTCGAATTTCGAACGCAGCTTGCTTGGGCTGATAGCTATGGCCATAGCAGTAGTGGAACGAATGAGATGGTGTTAAATAATGACAGTTAAAAGAAGTCGAGCAGAGTGTAGAGTAGATGAGAGTTGGGGATGGTGAGACGATTGGCTTGACCTGAAACGCCAGATGAGGCAGAGTAGACCATTGTTCATCGTTGCCATGAATTGCAAACAAGCGTTCACGTCATCGCAAAGGCAGTACAAAAGAGCGCCTGTATTGTTCATGTACAGATTAGATAACGATCCTACCATGCAACAACTGTTGCAAAATACTCTAAGTTATTATACTCTCGACTCCCAACTGAAGCCTCGATATCGATACAGAACATAGCAAACGAGCTTAGCGACTTCCAAGAGTGAATTTTCTAGAGAACACCTCAACAACTTCTTATCTTGACTTGTATAGCAACGACAGCTCCCGTCAAAGATTTTGCAACAAATTGAAAGCCACATGAGCCCACTGAATGGTTTGTTCATCACAACGCTGTCAGCCAAGAGCGACATAGATGCGCAAAGGATTCAGCCGTTCACCGCCATACGGTAAATTACACATACTAAATGGGTCGCTTTACTGTGTCAATGGGCACGAGGCGCTGCGCACATATGGCGACGCGCAGTTGTGCCAGACTATCCGAAATTCCAAAACGAGTATGATATGGAGGTGGTATTAGTCGTCCCATTGTACTAGTACCACCTCTTCCCGCCAACAGCTGCGCGCGCTGTCATCCGAGCAGTCATTCTCACACGAGAACACCATACACGTTCCCCATTCCATCCCCATCCGGTCTGCTGCCCGGCTGCCTTTCAGCGCTTGTAACACCTCTTGCCGCCGCTCTTCGTCGCTGAGTTTCGCGCTTCCCCCCTCGACCGGTGCATTGAGCAAGTTGATCAAGTTAGGCATTAACTGACACTCAAATACGCGCCGCGATTTGCAGTGCGGACATGAGGGCACAGCGGTAGCGTCGTACGTACGCTTTTGCGCAGGCACGACCGTAAATACTGCTTTGGTAACCGGTAGGGGAGATGCCAGCGGCGCAGGGAACAGTTTGTCAAAGACTTGGTCGCTGGCAAATGGGAGGGGCGTGCCGCCGAGTTCATATCTAGAGAATTTGGCCGTCATCACCAGTTTACGAATCACGATCATGATGCTGTTCTGACTGACCTCAAGCATTGTTCGCCTTCATACCCGACCCGCCTTGTAAAACGCTCGAAAACGTGATCCACCTCCATCGAGTTCTCGTACCCTTCCACCGTCCAGCTTCCGCCCTTGTCCTTCTTGCCGTCGTCATCGTCATCAATGTCTGCAGCGGCAGGTACTTTCGTCTTCCGTGCGGGAGGTAGGTACTCCGAAACTGTTGATAGATAAAGTGGCCTGTACGCTGGGGCAGCGCTCCATACAGAATCGTCCAGTACTGTGTTTGACATGTGAGCCGCGAGCTCTACATGGTCTACCTCATTTCCCGTCCCATCTTCATCGCTGACTTCGCTTTCTGACTCGTCGGATGGTGGATCATCCGCAAGCTCTAGTTCAGTGGGGACCTTAGAGGGTAGAGGACTCCCAAACACTTGCGAACCAAGGCTGAAAGGATTCGTGGTGTTTGCGGATTTCATCTGCCGATGATGTCAAATGCTTAGTAACTGTAATAGCACCAATAAGGTGGACTAACGGAGAAAGGGTTGACTTTTGGCACATTCTGAGGAGCAGCCTTTCGCTTTTCCTCTTCTTTCGCCTTCTGTCTCGCGACTTTATTGGCCAGCTTTTCGGCATACTTCTTGTTGTATCTCATGCTCCGCCATGCCCGAACGCTGAGCGTACACTGTCATCAGTCATCAATCCGCCACAATGATTAATTATCAGCCAACTCGCCTACCCTCCTTCTTCTGACAAACTCCCTTCGCACATCCCCACATGTACAGCACACGATCATTCGGGCTATTCTCAAGCGGGCACCAGACTTGTGCGAGCAGCTGCATAGGTTGATCGCAAACTTTGCACAACGCAAATTCGAAAGATGGTTCAGACGCGTTCAAGAACGTCTACATTCAAGAAATGGAAAAACGAGATAATTTCAATACACCAAAAGTACATGTATGGCGAGGGATCGCTCGTACAGGATGACCACCTAATCGAGACACCCTCACGTCGCGCAGGTCCGCGGCGGAGTCTACTGGGCCATCTGGGAGGCCGAGTTGCACGGCCGTCTCGACATCCGAACCCACATCATCGTCCGAATCCGACCAATCATCGTCGTTAATCGGGGCCATTCCGTCTGTAGAAAATAGCAATCAGCATGGGAAGGACTTACGAACACCGGAGGTGAAGTAGGGAATCAGGAAAGCATGAATGGTATAAATTTTGGTGGTCGTCATGGAAAGTCGATGAGAGGAAGCCTCGCCACGACACTTCAGACTCGTCATCTAAAGTTCATCATAGAGATAGAGATATGGAACGCCCCACGAACCTCAACGGTCAATGTTGTTGTGGTTTTGAGTAGCACGACTCAGCGAAAGAGCGCTCAGCTGGCAAGAAAAAACGGATTCCCGGATACACAAATAGGTCCAAGCTGGAAATCTCCGGATCGTGCAATACGAGCAGACTCATCCTCAGATGCTCTTCAGCGTCTAACCCATGTCGATCAGTCCGTCGGTCGCACGCAATAAGCGACAATCTTAGGCATGAGCTTTGCATAACTTCGACGCGCGTGGTCGTCACCTGCTCGTCTATGAAGCTTGCAATGCGAACTATAACGCAACAGTCAGTCTAGACCCTCTTCTGCTATTACACAATATTGTGGCAGCATAGTCCCTGCCGAGTAAGCACAATCCATAGCCCCGGGCCTCTGTAGTCTGAATCCGCATAACGAAAGTGACTGGCTCTAGCAAGGTTTGGGAGGTCATTCGTATTCTAGTGTGTATTCAATGAGCATCTCATGTTCAATGCTCAAGAAGGCTGATGGAGTGCTTTCGATGTTATGCAAGCTTCAAAACGGAATATGAGGTCCCCACAGGGAAACCATCTGACTTCCAAACTTAGCTACGTTTTTCCACTCTTGTTGATGACCCTGTCGACCACGATCCTGGGTACTTTGTAGACGTAATGCCCGGCGAGCCGCTCGGTTTTCGTTGTATCTTATGCAAATTCAACTTATACCCATAACGCATTCAACATGCTTCCATTGTCGTATTCCCCGCAAGGGGAGCAGGTAATATAACTAATCCTTCCGTGGGTTCTTTCTCCCTTCATGCTTGATACAGACGAGGCCGACAACTCACCGGCCAGCGTGAACTCACTTCCCTAGTCGTCCGCTCGAAGACCGTTCTATCATCGTTTCTCAAGTTCCGCGCTCTGGTGTTCTGGAACCTCGTAATGGCGGACCCTTTTGTACCTGTTCCGGCCCACGGACACGAGGTGCGCACCGGTCGCATCCTGTCCATGCGCTAGAACCATGTGTTGACATTCAGCGAGCCCGACAGCTACGGCCTAATGATTATCCTAGTGTGCGTTACTGCCATGTTGTTCCGCATTCCGTGTCCTCGAGCATTCAGTCTTTACAGACCGCGTGTGATCACGGCACACCACCGGCCGTTCTTCCACTTCTCTGAAAATTAGATAGAGTGGCTTATCTGCGATAAACGTTGACCCCGATTTGCTACAAGTCCGCGATGCATTGTCTGACGCTACCCGCAGCGATAGAGCATTATTTGTATCGCAACACACTACCATACCTTCAAGTGCAGGTTCTCAATAGCATCGCTCTGACTGCAACGGGTCATTCATCGTTGTGTTTGACCGGTACATCGCCTTCCACTGCAAACCTTGGCATCATGGTAGTAGCGTGCCACATTTTGTTTTGAACGCGCGTGAACACACAAAGGATCCGCGTTCTGACACATGTCGGTAGGTGCCTCAAATATTATGCTGAGTGGCGGATTAGCTCGTGGATTCGGGATTCATGATCTCCTGAACTCTGTTGAGAACATGAGCAGAATTGTCTCCATGCATTATCGGGCTTCTCAACGTGCGAGTGCCCATGATTTAATATCAAAGGTACAGCACTGGCAGCTTGGCTATAGGCAGTCAGGGTGAAATCAGTTGGTGTGAGCAGTATTATGCGCTTGTATTACGTCTTTACCGTCGAGTTGAGTTGTTGCCCATGGCAGCAGGGGTAGGCCACTCTCATGCCGTGTGATCAGATACACTTTTCAGTGTTTGAGGAATTAGCTGGAAGGTTAGCATAAATTCCGCACTGCGGGTAGTTCCTGCCGAGCATACCTCTTACTCTCGATTGATGCGATGGTGCAGTCATTTGACCACGGGTGGTTTCTTCTAGTGTCGAAGAGCCCTCTTGTCGTGTGTGAAGTGCGGTGATTGTGACTGTTTCCTGTCATTCTCAAGGCACGAGGTAGGATATTAATGTGAACTATGAATATCGTATCGCCGCTGTTATTTTGTAATTAGCTGATCGAGCGTATCGCGATTTGTACGATCGAGAACGAGCCCCCTGATGTTGATATGGGCTGAGCATGCGTCGCAGGAAGGTTCACGGGACCTGGTTTCGTACATATTGCAGAGACCCCCCTTGCAGAAGCGCCCGAAAAGCGCCCCATGTAACGGTCACACTGGCCTTCTCGGCCCGCTTTAGTTCTAGAAACATGAGATTTGCTCAGCCGAATGCATTATATTTTGGGGTAGCTACACCTGGACACTTCCAAGCGCGAGTAGTCAAAAACACGGACGAGAAACCACGCCCACATACGTCATTGCCATACTATACCATGCCGTAGAAGTCCTCAAATGATCAAGCACGCTCGCTGGCTCATAAGCAGCGACGGGAGCAGGCCCTGCGTGCCACTCAAGGAGCAGCTGAACGAATGGGCTCAGCGTGAATGCCATCCGGCAGAGAATGGCAGAAGAATATACTCACCGGTCCAGAGAGAAACAAGCACGTAAATGGCGGCTAGATGCCGCTGAAGGCTTGTTTCTTGGTCTGGATGGCTCTGTCATTGCGGATACAGGATCTGGAAAAATCATTGCTTATATGTTGGCTCTGTTGGCCATCTCGTCACGGGCCTCTGAATACAGGAAATGCAAGTCTTATATGCACAGTATTAACTAACAACGATTTTTCATTCGTGTTTTTGCCTACTCGTGCTCGGAAGTTGCTAGACGTAGCTACCCAAGAATGGAATGCGAACGGGTGAGCGAATCTCATTTTTCTACAAGTACAATGGGCCGAGAAAGCCAGTGTGACCGTTACATGGAGCGCTTAGCGGGCGCCTCTGAGAGGGTCTCTGCAAGGTTGCCTCAGACGTGTCTGGGTACGAGACCAACGGGATCATGTCTCTCAGAGGCATTACGTGGAAGCATTCCCGTCGCTGTAATCAGTCCAACCTTTGAATTATGGTAATGATATTGATGAAGCGCAACAGAGCCTGGCCATGAGGACAATTTTTGTGGCATGGGGCGAGAAGAATAGACGACATCCACATGAGAGGTGATTGGAACTGATTCAAGTCTGGAGTCTGATACGGATGAGGCGGCGTATGACCGCTCGATGATGCGTTCCGACTCTGAATACGATGTAATGTGGTAGCGTGATTTGCAAAACTTGGATCAAACGCAATCCACCACAATCGGGAACTCCATGTCTTGCTCGAGAGGGGTTTCGGTTGCCCTTTCCTTAGCTAGGCTCGGCATCCCAGAATATGGCTGTATGCGAGAACAAAGTATTCTAAGGTTCCGTCCCTGTGCGGGCGGATGTCGTAAGTGTCAACGGAACAAAGGATGACAGAAGAGAGAGACGGATGAGGAGATTCTTATCTAGATAACGAGGAGCGACGCATCGGGAAAGTGAACTGACCGCCAATGAAGGGCGGGCAGCAAATATGGGGCCGGGGACTGGGCCGAGTCTGGTGTGGGAATGCCGTTTAGGGGATGCCACGTGGTGAATATCCTCGATCGTGACTTGCCGATGGGCCGTTGCGCCTGCCCAAGCTCCCCGCGATGTCCTTATATCTGCCAATGCCAATCCCAGCGTCTGTCACTTCCGCCCAATGTCCTCCTCCTTCAACACCGTCCTCGCCACCCCACCTGTCCCCCTTCCCTCTCACTCTGACCTCGACTCTCTCAATGGCACACAGCCCGTCCTTGTGAAGAAGCGCAAGCGTGGTGCGACCCGCCTATCGTGCGCAGAATGTCGCAGGTGTGTCCTTTCCTCGACATTTTGTTATCTCACAACTACCCACGCTCTGCCCTCAGATTGAAGCTGCGATGTGACCGACAAATCCCCTGCGGATCCTGCATCAAGAGAGGCTGCTCAGCGATTTGTCCTGATGGTTAGCCCTCATGTGTTTGTCTTATACGTAAACTCCATCTCTTTTCAAAGGCTCGTTGACAACAGGCAAAGGGAACCGGTCAATACCAGTTCCTCGTTTCTGTGGTCTCTTGTGCTCATGATCTCCCAGCAGATTTGTTTTGGCCTCTACCCAAGAGCTCCATGAGAAGATTACGCTTCTCTCGTCTCGAATACGCGACCTCGAGGAGGGTCTTCGCTCTTCACACTCTGCGCATTCTGTCGACCAGCACCCCCTCCTCGCGGAAGATCTCCTGCTTATCAAGGCTCCCATACAGCGAGAAGGTGTAGCTCAGATCGCGGCTGCCAATGCCGCCGCACAGGAAGATGGCACTGACATGGTTGACTCGTTTGGCTCGCTTGCCATCAGCGATACCGGCCGAACGAGCTACTTCGGGCAAGCCACGAGTTCTTGGGTACGTTGCCCCCCATTTTTCGCTCCGCCGTTCTCCGCCTTAATGCGTGCTTACCTACCACCGCAGTATTTTCTGACGGTACGTAGATGGCTGATCGTAGTAGCTGTCAAGCGCGTTTCTAACTGACACCACGATGATCCTAGAACGAGAGCAGTCGGGAGGAAGACCGAGACAACCGGCGGGCCACCCTTCGTCAGTTGCTTCCGCCCGAAATTTTGGCACTCAGCGGCGTGTTTCCGGTTGCTCCTCACATTCAGCCCACCCTCGAATCCGAGTCGGACCGGCTCGAGCGCCTACGCACCCTCTTCTGGTATCTTCCTCCTGCAGACGAAGCGGCAGAATTGCGACAGATCTATTACCAACATGCTTCTTGGATGTACGTCTTTCCACATTGTCTTCCAGAACGATGAGGCTGATGCGTAGTATTGGTTTAGGTACAGCCCAATGTCTCTGGAGACGTTCAACGAACAGATATTCTATGTCTTCTACAGCTCAAACGTTCCACAAATGGACGATCCCTTGCTGACACATCAACTTGGGCTCATGTTCATGGTACTTGCGATAGGAAGCCTCATGGACCTCGCGCGTCCCGCCTATAATATTGAAGCCGAGAAGTATCATCAACTCGCTCGAGCGGCCTTATTCCAGAGCCCCATTTTTGAAGAACCTACCCTCGCAGCTGTGCAGGCGCTGGTGAGTATAAAGACTCAGACATCATAGTTAGCTTACTCATTGTCATGCTGCGCAGTACCTGATGGCCTTCTATCTCTTCTGGTGTGAACGGCATGGCACTGGTGTTGGAACAAGGTGGGCCTTGATGGGCCTTGCTGTGAAATTGAGTGTTAGCGTGAGTGAACTGTAGTATCCCCCACGCTGCGGATCTGATGTCTGTTTCATCCTACAGATGGGTCTCCGTGAGTAATTCAATGTTCGCAGATTACCACCACTGTTGCTCAGACGATAGCAGATCGCGATGCAGGGCGCTGGAATGTCGAGCCAATTGAAATTCAGCGTCGTCGCGAAACCTTTTGGGAGGTTTATTCATATGATCTTCTTCAGGTTTGTACATAACCTCGTCTGCACGTTTATGTCATGTCTTTGACTCACGTTCCGTACAATTAGTCATTCACCCTAGGGCGGCCGCCATCTTTCTCTCTTGCTCATGTTGACTGTAAAAAGCCTCGTCTTGAAGACCCAAACGGTGAAGGGACATGTAAGTTCTCCATGCGCGGTTACCTAGGTATACATTATTGACGCAACACCTAGTCCATTGGTGGAAGCACAAGTTTACCTCCGAATGCATGAACTCGGTATATGATCAGGCTTTTGGCGCCAAAACAGCGACATACAGCACTGTTCTACAGCTTGATCGCAAGTTGCGGTCGTTCCCGGTTCCACAGCTCTTACAAATTGCGGGATTTGGAAGTACAGAGCCGCGGACGACCAATTACCAAGATTCTGTACCTCTCATTCTACAACGGCATACTGTGTTAGCTATTCGTGAATCCAGTAAGTAGCCGATGCCGATCTGTGTTGGTCTATCGTCTTTATCTCATCTGGTTCTCCCGATCGTGTAGACTTGTTGTACATGCATCGCGGCTTCTTCGCCCGGGCGGTCAGTGACCACCCACAAGATCCCCTAGGCAGCCCTTACGGCAGTTCATTTATTGCCGCATACCGTTCCGCTGGCTCACTTGTAGCCCTTGTACGCAACATTCATTCACAGCTGAAGGAGCTAACGGAGCGCATGTGGTTCCTGTGGACACATTTGTTCTCGTGCTCGGTACGCAGATCTGATCAAACCTCCGTTGTGTATCGGAGGTTGGGCTGACCCCACTGTGTTAGATCATCTTGGGATCGATCGTCACCCGTTGTCCCTCGATGAGTTTAGCTCACTCAGCTCTATTGCAACTTGACTCGGCGTGCGACCTATTCGCCAAGACGGCAAAGTTCTTCCATGCGGAGAAGGTGCTCGTACGTGTACTGTCCACTTCTCTCCGACCGGTCGGAAGTTGAGCTGGCTGTCATTGGCAGAACATCATGATGAACCTTCGCGATAGAGCCCACGCAAGTCTCGCGGCGTATCGCAATTCGCCACCACAGCGGAACGGATCTGTTTCTGAACCCACAACCCCCGCCGACGCACCGGACGAGTTGAACATCCTTGGCGGGCGCACGCGTCTTGTCGCATCAAAGGAGAAATCCATGTCCCCGCAGATCATGGACCGTTCTCCGACGTCGCTAAATCCCATCGTGCCGCTCCCGCTCAAGGACACCGACTGGCAACAGGACTCGGTAATGCAATATCTCCGCTCCTTTGCGCCAACACCTGCGCCCATGGGTTACAACGGACCCCATGTACCCCAGATGCCACAGGCCCCCGTGAACCACTCAGCAATCCACCAGCGCTCGCCGTCATTCGAGCACGAGGCGCTGCAGGGAATGGCGCCTATCAATACCTCGTTCGGGCAGATGGCTGAGGGTTATCCGTCGACGTCAGGGGGCCTGTCGTCGGGGATGCTGCAGATGGAGGGCATGATACCGACATTTCCACAATACTTCCCTGTGTTTGACTACGGGATGCCGAGTACGGACATTTTCGTGTCATCGCCGCAGTCGCTGGATGGCGGAGACCCGCGGTCATATTCTCCAGACTCTGCGACGATGCAAAGCACATGGCAAGACTTCGTTGCGCAGATGGGTGGCTCGGTGCCAGTGTAGCTTGGGTCACGACGGACGTTGGTATATATCGAGCATGCGGCGCAGAGGTGGTTTTACATCATTGTTTTCCTGATCAGCTATCATTTGGCTTGGGGTCATGTTCGCAGGTATTTGATGCCTGGGGAGCCCTTAAAGAGCTCTATATCCTGTATTCTGCATGTATGTATGTATCATAAGTACTCGCATTAATTGTAGATCTGTCCGGATTCTCGCTATTTGAATCGTTCTGTGAAGCCCTGTAAGGTCGTTGCGCGGCCGATTTGAAGTCCGGCACAGTCACGTGCAGTCGTGTTCCCCCAAGTCCCACTGCAGCCTGACTTCGAGAGCCACTCAACTGTATTTCTTCCTCTCGTTGCCACGCTGCTGCAAGCAGACAAATCCTCGCTATCTGAGATGCCGTCATGCGGGAAGGCTTCTAGGCCGTCTTTTGGCCGAGGAAGACCGGTGCGCGAGTCTCACTATTGCTGTCTCACCCAATATGCACTCTGAACGCGCTCGTGTGGTCAATCAGATTCAACGAAAGATTGTTGTGTGTGGAGATGGAGCAACCGGTATGCTTCAAGTTGCAGAGTCTTCTTTACTATACATTTAAATGGATGTATTAAGGCAAGACATCGCTGCTGAACGTCTTTACGCGAGGCTGGTTCTCGGCTGTCTAGTGAATTGCGCTCTGTTCCCACCGCGCCTTCCCGCTAACGACATGCCCACAGTGAGCCAACTGTTTTTGAGAATTACGTTCACGACTTGTACGTCGAAGATCAGATGGTTGAACTGAGTCTATGGGACACCGCCGGTGTGTAGCGTTGTCTGCTCTGTGGGCTGCGCCAGCCCAGGGACTGACGTCTCCAGCTCGTGCTCAGGTCAAGAAGAGTTTGACCGGCTACGATCGTTAAGTTACGCTGAAACCCACGTTATAATGTTATGTTTCTCTGTGAGTTCCTAACAGCCCGTATAATGCCATCGTGCTGCTTATAATCCGGTCTTTAGATAGACAGCCCAACATCACTGGAAAATGTTGAGAGCAAGGTATACAGTTTCTGTGCTCCTCCTCGTCCCTGGCGTGTATCTGAGTGTCTTCATAGTGGCTAGATGAGGTGCTGGAGTACTGCCCAGGAGTCAAGGTACGTCCCACTTCCAATTCTCATCCGAACAACGATATCGATGTCCACTGTCTTTTCCCGCAAGCTTGTTCTCGTCGGTGCGTGTTTCCAACGTGTTGTACATTGACTCGAGCTGTGATGTGACGTCATGACTGCTCAGCGCTCAAATGCGATTTGCGAGACGATCGCTCAACTCAAGAAAGGCTGGCACGTTATGGTATGCACACAGTACAGTACGAGGAAGGGCTGGCAGTTGCAAGACGAATACGTGCATCCCGCTATCTCGGTCCGCGCTTCTTTCGCTTTGTCCTCAGCTCGCACCCACTCACCTTCATTAGAATGCAGCGCAAAGCACAACCGGGGTGTCAATGAAGTATTTTTTGAAGCTGCACGTGTTTCTGTGGGCACCCGCCCCAAAGGATCAGGTTCTTATGGCGGTGGACGCTGTGTGATTCTATAGTTATTTCCGCACAGCTCCCTGCCTTAGGACATTACATACCCTCATTATGATATTACGACTTTACCTCTCGTGCTCTTCCCCACGCATTTTTAATTGCTATCACAGGTTCTCCTTGCTCTCCCCTACACTAAATACCTTCTGATGGATTTTTGTACCGGCGCAAAGTCCCTTGTACTTTTCTTTTTTTTCCCCCCTGCATTTAGATGGGCGAATCACGATATTCTCATCTTGTCCACAAGTCATGTTGAGTAGTGCAGATAAGGTAAAAATGTATTAATGAACGCGACAACATCATAAGTTCATGACTAGGTCCAACTATACAATACTTCAGGATGCTGGAATCAGAAGCTCGCAAAACCGGTCATCATCTGTTCACACAGTGAGCAGCTATGGGTATGAGCAAAATGCTAACTACTTACCGGAGGCATGCCCATAGCCGCGCCGTTGGGCATCATAGGGGGTGGTGCTTGACCAGGGAATCTGAACAAATTGATGTTCAAAACTGAAATATCCTACTGACTTCCTAACTTACCCATTTCCTGCTGTGAGCATTAATCGATTGCCGATCAAGCCAGGGTTGATAATTGGTGCTTCCGCTTCTTGTTGCTCCTTTTGTGAGCCTTTCTTTGACAACTCTTGCACCTGCTTCTCTAATGTGGACATCTAAGATGCGCGATGTAGATGAGATGCTCGAGTTAGGTCTCGACCGCGACGAGTGACTCACCTTTTCTACCATCGTCCGCGAGATTTGGATCTTGTACGGCATATAGAAATCGTTCAAACCATGCTGCCATGAGAGTTCCTCTACGACATCTGACCGCAGCAGGTCGAAGCAAGCATAGAGTGTTGCCGCGAAGCACTCCTTGTTGCCAATGTCGACGAAATATGACAGCAGATCCTCGGCAACCTCTGTCAATGCTGACGTCGCTGCCGTGATGATAGCATCCCTGTACAGCTTATCCTGCTTGGAAAGTGTTATCGACTCTTCCCAGCGGGAGTTTTTCTGGCGCAGACCAATCAGTCGGCTATACAATGATATATAGGTAACGCGCACCTTGTACAAATGAGCAGCCAGTCGTCGGAACTCAAGCAGTTCATGTTTCTCCAGCCGTCCTGCAAGTGCAACATTGTTGAAGTTATCAAAGCTGTCGATCGAGTCACGCAGTGTCTTATAATCTTCCTCTTCGATGAGAAGATCATTGTAAGCGTCGTTGACTGCTTCAATGTTCAGCTATACTTCAAGTCAGATGCACCGAGATTCAAAATGTGAAATTTGAACCTTACATGCTGCACGGCGATGAGATAGGAGCGAACGAGTGGAATGTGATCCATCTGCCGGAACATTCGCACGACACGGGTGTGGTCTATCCGGGGTATCAGAACGGTCAACAGGTCCGTCAACAATGTTGGCTGTTCTTGGAGGTAAAACGTGAGGGACTTGTAGTAGCTGTTGAACAATATTGAGTAATGAGGTTCTGCAGATAATCATTGCGCGCACTTACATCTCAATATTGGCAACCCGAACGATGACATCCTTGAATTGGTTGTGCTCCCATGCATCTGAAGACCGTTCAATCATAGCTAGTGCGGCATTGTCCTAACCATAATTTAAGACCAGTTTAAGAGCAAATCCATGTGAACTCACAAATTCGTCGTACTTGATATACAAGAAGACGAGTTCTGGCCACAGATGGGCTCTTTCCGTGGCTTTGATGACCTAACGTCCATGAAATTAGTACGATAACAACAAGAGAGAAATCAAGCACACCTTTGGAATATTAATGCGAGATACGAAAAGCTTCAGGTGCTCCATGACTAGAGACACATTAGAAACGTCTGGCGTCTGTATATAACTTGATTGACTCACGTTTCTCTGGCCTGTACTTGCTGTACAGGATCGAAAGCTCAGTAAAGATACCCATCTGTAAAGACACAGGTCAACTAGATTTACACGATATGCATGCCATACTACTCACATGTGCTCTCTCCAAACTTAGAGCTGCCTCCAGTAACGACAGAACCTCATCGAAATGGCCGCGACGTTCGTATGATTGCACAATACCAGGGAGTTCTTCCTAAGAATGAGGCCTTCTATCAGCTCGGAGATTGTATCACAGAACAACCATTGACGAACCGCATGGACAACAATATTGAGACCACAGATTTGCGCCAAACGGAATTCGCTCTTCTCTATACACGCTGCATGCACTTGTTTCCAAACCCTACACATACTAGTTAGCTTCCTGCCGCGTCAGCTCTCGCGCCAAACTTACTGTGTATTGCCGGCCTTTCTCGCACTTTCTACGGCAGCCTGATTCTCACCAAGGTAGATAAGTGTCGTAGCAAGCCGTGCCCAATTCGAGATGCTCGTGAAGAGAAGCTTCGCCGCCTGGTACAGTTCGTCCTCGAAACACTTCTCACCGACTTCCAGAATATCCGCGACGTTGGTCATACCGAGGAAATCCTCCATATCGTGCAGCCGATCCGTCTTTGCGTACGCATATGCCAGCTCAGTATCAATCTTGGGTTCACGAAGAGACTTCCGCGCCATCTGTAAGTAACGGACCAAATCGTCGTGCTTGCCTGCGCGACTGGCAATCTCGATGACCTCCATGAAATTCGACGGATCTTCTGCCTTGATGTATGAGTCTGCGCGATGGCTGTCAGCCAAGAACCAATGATTTCAAGCCCGAGTAACTAACCGATGGCATCTTTGATACGCAAGCCATCCAGTTGCGCTTTCGCAAGCCTGCTCCAGACCTCTGGCTTGTTCACCTTGATGGCGTACTCTACACCGCGATCGAGGGATACCACATGTTCAACGAGCACGTTTATTGCCATCGCATGCTGCTCATACTTCTTGTAGATCAAGAACGCTTCTTCGTAGAGGCCGTGGTCAGTGGCAATCTTGGCAATCTCGGCAACATCATAGTTCTTTAGCTTGTCGATATACCCGACCACCTTGCCCTTGTCGGCGCGAATCGCAGTCAGCATCATCAAGTTTTGAAGATTGCGGTTGTCAGAGAATGGCGAAGGCTCCAGAATCAGCTTCTCTAGCAACTCGATGAGCTCGATGGGTAAGTCTGCTTGCAAGAACGCCTTGACAGTGACAGAGACATCATCAGGGTCGGTAGACTCGGTGAGGGCAGTCGCGATAATCTATGAGTTCGGTTTGTAAGTCAACATGGTCGTCTGATCAACTTCAATGCCGAACCTGATCAATCAACTGACGACGGTGCATATTGTCTGGGACCAACACCTGTGCCCACAACTCCGGCTGACGTCGCCTGACGAGATACCGTGCCTGTTGCTTGAACATTGAGTTCTCGTTGGTGATAGCAATAAGTTCATCATCACAAAAGCCCTTCGCATATGCTATATACGCCAGATACGGGTCACGAGCTTCGCAGAACTTTCCAACTACCAGCGGCTCGTAGAGCTGTGGACAATTTGTTAGTATAGATTCACAGAGTTGAGGCGTCCTCGCTCACGTTGTTCTCTTTCAGGAATGATTCTGGGTTGTTATTCGAGTCAATATAAATCTTCGCCAGAGCGTTGTAGATAGCAGAATCTTGACTTCCTTGCTGCACACGCGCCTCGAGCCAAGGGAGGATTAACTTCAAACGGTTCCTAGTCTCGACCTCGTTGACGAGCTCGTCGATAGGAAAGTTACCAGGAACCGATGCTAACAGAGACTTGATAGTGGACTCGTCGCAATCGACATCGAGAAGGCCACCAATGACCTGTGGTGTACGGACAGAGTTAACGCGCTGAACGTAGACCTCAATGAAGTTGGTCAGCCCGTTCTGGTACAAGTAGAGAACGAGGTCGTGCACAAAGTCGAAGCGATCGCAAACAATAATAAGCGGAAGTTGGTCTGCGAGTTTTGCCTCCTTGAGGAAGTTCTTGACCTTCTCAGGGTTGTAAAAGTTGCTCTCTCTGCAAATACGCTCAACTTCACGGATCTGACCAGTGCGGGTGGCAGCCTGAATGTACTTGAAGTGCACCTCGGGATCTTGGCTCAGGTTGACGATCGAACCGAGGTAGTAGTAAAGACCTGCCACCAATGGTGATGTTCCGTTGCCGTCACTACCAAAAAAACGGACATACCCTCGAAAGTCTTGAACGACTCAAACATCTCAATCAATTTGACGGGACCAAGGATGTCGGAATACTTGGTTGCGATTTGAATAACGACTTGGAGGTTCTGTCGGATGTTCACGCGAAGCATTTCCTCCATGCTGGCCATAGATTGCTCAGTGGTGAGACGACTGAAGTAGTTGACTATCCACTACAAGGCAATATGTCAGAGAACAGGTTATGAGGCCGTAGAAAACCACACTCACATCTGGAGGCAATGCGCTTGAGTGTACAATGACACGCTTGATATCCGCGAGGTCTTCATAATGCTCCAGCGCCTGAGGGCTATTGAGCAACAAAATTGCATCATGCATATACTAGAAGACATACTCGCTGAAGCAATCCAGCCTTCTCACACAGGTTCGCTATCCGAGGTCGGTCATAGTGAGTGAACATTTCATTCCCGAGAATAGCATCAGCGACTTGAGGAGCATGAACGAGATTCATCTCTAGGAGACGCGTCTGGAGAGGACCCTGTTCGGGCTTGTTATCTTTGAGGGCATCCAACAGGAATGACGTCGCCGGCTGGATCATGTTTTGAGACATGAAAATATCCACCACCTACAAGAATAGCGCTCAGTGAATTGGGAACGGGTCATGAGACACCAAACGCACCCGCTCGACATCAACGAGAGGACCGCTCTCATCGTTCGCAAGTTGCATAGCAAACTCTGCACCCTTTTCCGGATTTGTACGCATAACATGCTGCAATAGCCCGACGAAATCTGGAGTGTATCCGACCTTCTTGCAATAGAGCACGATCTTGTCCGTTTGACCCGTCTCCGCAAAGCATGCAATTACTTTGTTTGGTACGTTCGCTCTCAGGTAGACGCTGAGAGCGAGGGTCATATCGTGCAGCCGGACAATATCACCGAGCTCCTCGCTGCATGTCAACTAGATAACAGCATGAGCAGCAAGACAAGGCCCGTCTGAATAGATGTTCTAACCTTGTTCTCCTTCAGCCACTTCTCCAGCAGTTGTTTCCTGCCCTGCTGAAGGACGGGACGCGCGAGCTCGACAGACTCGAGATGGTTAAGCTCCCCCTTCTCGAGAAGGATGCCAAAGTATTGGAGAATTGGCGACAGGCCACCTGGCGGTGCAGGCGCCTGCTTGAAAGATTCGATGATTTGTGCTGTTCGCAGAATTCCCTGGGATCACAGTCAGTTTACCAACTCGAGCATCTCAAGGAGGCAACTTACTCGAGGTGAATTGGCCGCAATCTTAGCAGCTTCGCTAAACTGTCCGCTCTGGAACAGCTGTTGATATTGCCTAATGTACAGGTCATCCGCACCAGGCAGATCCGCTCGGCTAGCGAGCTTGAATGCAAGCTCCGTATTGTTTAGCGTGGTGAGGATATACGGAATGACGGTCTGCTCGTCGACGTTGACACTGAGCACCTGGCCCTTCTTGTTGACACCGATGATACCGTTGGTTGCTTCATGCTCGGATGTGACAAAGATCGTTTCACCTGAGATACGGTTCATGTAGATGCACGCGCCCGACTCCAGGTCGTAGAGGTGAATGAATCCATACTTCGTCACCAGGTAGACGATCCCATGCTTCTTCGACACCTGCATAGCAACTGGGAAGTCGTTCGTAGCCTCAGGCGGGAAATACACGTCAACCGCCTTCTTGGTGAAGGGCGGATCTGGTGCTTGGTGGTCAATCTCCACGACGTGCAGCTTCGCGCCAGTCGCTGTTCGTACAGAGAACGTGAAGAGCTTGGTCGGCTTCTGATGACCATCCAGCTTCACTTCGGCAAATGCAGCGGCATGTCCTTCAATCGGTTGGCTCACGCCCCGCTCCTTGCTATAAAGTTGAATAGAACCCTTCACCTTGAAGGCGGATGGATTCGTCGTGTTCCCTGAGATACCAACCAGCACAAGCCACTTCTCGTCCGCCGACGCACGGTAGTTGATGATTTGCGCCCCGACAAGTGTCGCATGTCGGTCAAAGATCTTCTGCGGTGGTGATGTTGCATCTGACATCGACCAGTGGTATACAGCGTTGTCGGTGACCATACCAATGGTCGAATCCGAGATCCACTTCCAGAAGACAATGTCTTCGTTGTTGACATGCGATTTGACCTTCTGCTTGGTCTCGAGATTGAATATCTGCAATGTCCGACCCGCTGCAGACAAGAGTGTTATGTCTTCCGTAGCATGCGCCAGATGCTAACATACCTTTTAATGCCAGGATCTTCTGGTGAGGGTGCATGATAGCGGAGTCGGCAGTGATTGGTCTGCGTAGTACATTGTTGGCATCTGCAAGGTCGACGATAACAACTTGATTCTGCTCTCCAACTTTTTCTCGTACACAAATAAAGTGGTCGGATTCAAGCGTTAAGGTCTACGCGTCACAGTTGAGGTGAGCGCATGATACTGCATCCGGCCGCACGCACCTGGAATGAGATAGAGGCGGGCTGCACGCCAATAGCAGACAGTTGGAGGTGCTCGCAGAACGCGATAGGTTTTGAGATATCCATCGTGAAGGGAGGTTTTAGGGACACGTCGAACCCGGGAGCTGCGTCGAACAGCGAGTAGTGGTGGTAGCGAGGGCGGTTCGGTTTGCGTGTATTTATTGGTACATCCATTTGCGGCAACTGCTGTGCGACTGAGCGCTGACTCGGACTCTCGGAGGTCAGTCGCATATCTAAGTGCAATACGATGACGAATATCCGTCGAAGGCATATGTTAAATACTGTATTCCAAACCCTCAACCCATAGCAATCGTACAACTGCGGTAGCTACATATGAAGATCCACACCAAAACCACCAGTGACGGACGGTTTACTCTTCCGCCAATGCCAGCGCTTGCTCAAGGTCGTCCTGCTCCAACAGGGTTGCAGCAGGGATTGCATTACCGAAGTATAACCGCTGACCGATAATCACTGTGAAAACGATTCCATCTTGAGCAACAGCACATGCACGAGGCGCGGAATTGCACCAACCGCAGTCTATTGAAAGTTGAAATATGGAGCAGATCTTGAATTGCAGTGGTGAGTCTTGCATGAAGAAGTATGCGGTTCTAGCTCCTGGATCAGCTGAGTTTGTCAAGTAGCTAGGATGTTTAGAAGTGCTAACTTGAAAGCATCTCCTCCTACCCAGCCTAGAAGCGTGGACATCCGAAACCCGTACAAGGAACGTTGCTTGTGATTACTTAGAGACACATTCAGCGGAACGGAACAGTGACTTCTGCTTATATCTCTGACCTTATTACCTGAGGTATTGGCAAAGTGCTTTCTACACCGAGAGCTATTAACCCGATGACGAAGATGAACGCCTGAGAGCGACCAAAAATGAGGAAGAGAATCGCTTGACATAATCTGCACCAAAAGTCATTAACGATGGTCTCACATATGATTGAGTGGGGCGGACATAAAACCAGCGAGGAACTCAAGATATTGTGTGTACATAGGCCACTGCCAAAAAGAAAACGGCCGGGTCGAGGCACCAACAACTTCTGGGCTTGTATGTGGACGGTATCGCGTGCATATATAGAGCAGAGCAAGCTAGTGTAACATCAGACAATGCTCTTTTTCATCTGTATAGAAATTTCACCTGAGCAAGAATCATAAATATCGACTGCAGCAGCAGAGCCAGCTCAAAGCGGCTACCCAGCCAGAAGAAGCAACGTGTGATATTTGCGAGCAATCTAATGACCGGATCCTTAATATGTCGGCCTGATAGGGGAAAAAGGCAGCTCACAAGATAGCACAAACATCGCGAGAAAACCCCGTTGAGTCCCTGAAGAGGATGCGAATCCAAGTCAATCACTGCCAGAATGTGAATGTAAGCCGACGCACTTCTTGCGGACAATAGAGTAGGCCTGGTCAGCGTATACGAGCGGAGGGCCAATAGCCATGCCCACAGAGGCCAGTGTGGAAACCCATTCTGGAATCATGACTACACGGAGGTCACCGCGAAGACAGACAAGCAGTGCCTCAGACAGACGCGCTCGTCGCTGGCAAGTTGCATCACGCGCGCAGTGATCGCGATCATACGAGCGTCTGATTCCCTCCCGACGCGGCGGGAAATACCATACTCAGAAGAGGAACGGCAAGCTCCGGGTGCAAAGTCTTCGCAGACTCAGCAAGTTGTCAAGCTTCAAAGTCAAGCAACTTGGAGCGCATCTCTGCCTCATATTGTAAGAGCAGACTCACAGGGCGTTCGCTATTCCGGACGAGAAACGTCCCTATCATGTCCTCCAACGCGTACGCGGGATCATGGGCTTCGTTGCCGACCACACTGACTCCTTGGATGTGAGTTCTCTCACATGGACGTTGAACGAAATGATATGGATTCATGTCCAGCATGGATGTCATCCAGTCTATGGGATACAGCCAAATGACACCTGTACAAGCTTCCACTATCCCACTGTTCATGCAGCACAAGGATGTCGTCGTTGAGGCAGTTACAGGCTCGGGCAAGACACTCGCATTTGTGATACCTGTCCTTGAACGACTTATGCGTAGAGAGGGGAAGCTGCGTAACAATGAGCTAGGTGCACTTATAATCAGTCCAACAAGGTGTGTCCATCCTATCACGTCGTCCTAGACCAGGCGCAGAGATTCAGCGTCAGAATGTAGAGAGCTCGCGACACAAATCCACTCCGTCTTTTCGCTGTTCTTGTCGAGTCAACCAGGTAGCGATATCTCACTCGATGAAGACCGACCAATTACTTCTTCCACAAGCTCATCAAACCTGACATGTCCACCACCCCTTCTAGTCGTGTCATCGGATTCGCCTCCGGCTGATGATATCAAGCGGTTTTTATCTACGGGGGCAGACATCGTTGTTGGGACTCCAGGTCGTATAGAAGAATTTTTATTGGGAAGGGGAAGGGATATCGTAAATGTCAAAGAGCTTGAAGTCCTCGTACTTGATGAGGCCGACCGGTACGTGTATCCAATATACTCCAAGACATCGCACGCCTCAGTTATATATGCACAGGCTATTGGATCTTGGATTTCAGAATACGCTGACTCGCATTCTAACGCATTTGCCGAAACAAAGGCGAACTGGCCTCTTCAGTGCAACTATGACGGATGCAGACGCGCTTTCTGAGCTCGTCCGTGTCGGCCTAAGAAATCCAGCGCGTATAGTTGTCAAAGTGCAGACAAAAAAATCAAAAAAGAGTGATTCTAAAGACGGTGAGCGGCAGGCTAAGAGAGATGTCATTGAAGAGCGGCGAATACCTGCGAAGTAAGTATGATACAAATATGTCCTAAATCTCTGACTGTCAACAATCGCTGCAGTCTACAGAACTTTTATCTCAGCTGCAGGGCATCTGAAAAGCTATTGCAACTTGCCAGGATCGTGTCCCACGAGGTCATACAACATCGATCCGCTCGCTTCATAGTTTATTTTTCAACATGTGCATGTGTCGAATACTTCTATCGCGTATGTGCATATTTGCATTTCTCATGGTGTGTTCTAATACCGTGCCGCTTGGCTCCGCTTGAATATGGGCAGATCATCTCACCATTTCTTCCTCCCCAAACGACGTTATATTCTTTACACGGACATCTTCCACCTGCAACGCGCACCCGCACGCTATTTAACTTCGCTTCATCGCTTGCTCTCCCATCCACTCCCTCTGTTTTACTCGCAACCGATGTTGCTGCGCGTGGGCTTGACCTCCCGGATGTTGATGTCGTGGTACAATTCGATCCCCCTTCGGATCCAAAAGCGTTCTCACATCGTTGCGGACGAACTGCGCGTGCGGGTCGTAGTGGGCGAGCGTGGGTCCTTCTTGTGGGTAGGGAACGTGATTATGTCGGTGAGTAATCTTTTCAATCTTTGGGGAAATTTTTTACTCAGGTTTCCGACCATACAGATTTTCTTGCTATCCGCAAGATCCCGCTGATGGAACACCGTGCCTTTTCCGCTGAGGGTCTAGAACAGACGTCAGGGACAAGCTCAGAGTCAGAAGACACAGAGGTTATTTCGATGCAAATAGAAATTAGGAAGGTCCTCATGACCGATCGGGCGTTGCACGACAAGGTAGTTTATGCCATCTATATGATAAATAGTGCTCATATCGATCATAAGGCGGCCAAGGCATTTGTTTCGTTTGTCCGTGCATACTCAAAACATGAAGCGGCATACATCTTCCGAATAAAAGACCTGGATTTGGTTGGTGTTGCAAAGAGTTTCGGATTGCTTCGTCTGCCCCGCATGCCAGAGCTCAACGGCGTGCCTCGACTTGACTGGCAAGATGCACTAATCAATGTGCGCAATCACTTCTTCTATCCGTATTAATACTTAAGTCCGATGTCTATATGCACAGTGGAACTCTTTTGCGTACATAGATAAGGCGCGAGAGGCCAAACGACTCTCAGACGCTGAGAAACAATCCTCTGCCTCTGCCTCTTCTGATAAACGCAGAGCAGAGCGTGCACAGAAGCGAAAAGAGAACGCTTCATGGAGCAACAAGGCTAGCAAAACGGAAGAAAAGTTGATAAGGAAAGAGAAGAAAACCCGGAAACGAAAGTGGCAAAAGGAACAAGATGCAGGAATAGAAGACGCAACAGGTTTGAAAAGGGCATTGGGTAACCCTGATGCTGAAAGTGATGGGGACGACGACTGGAAGGAGATGGCAAGAGAGGAGAGGATGGCAAAAAAGGTGAAGCAGGGCGTTGTGAGTCAAGAAGATTTCGACGGGGAATTTGGGGGTTCATAAGTTGCTCCTAGTAATAAGAATCTCCAGCAGATAGATTGCAGTCAGTTCGTGATGCACACTGCATTGTCTAGAAGATAAATTCTATCAATTTACGAACAAAATCCATGACCACTGTCCGAGACCTTGCATCTACACGTCTGAATAAAATCAAATGATCTCCAGCTTGAGAAAAAGACGGCATCTCAGTAACAAAGTAACACATCGCCGTGAAAATTAGCAAGACATATGCAAAGATTATGCGAACAGGGGAGCGTTCGCAATCAGTGACTTAATGTAGAAATCTAACAAGCAGGCACAGTAAGGGGAATCTTGACGGTTCGCTGTAGGGGGAAATTATTTCACGTTGTCAGTGAAGGTGCATCGATATGCATCGGATTACATACGGCAAGACCCTACAGGGTGAAAAAAAAAGCAGGATATTGTCAGCGATCGTCGCAATCACAACCATAACCTGACCCACCGAAAGACTGGTCTCTTTGTACTTCACACTCATGTCGGCAGCAGTCAGACGCATTGCCTCAATAGCCTCGTCGAGTGTGACACTGTATACATTCTGGCTAGCCATTGACAATTGGGCGGCCGTGACAGCCTTGACAGCTAAAAGAGGACGCGAATAGCTGATCGTCAGTGTCACCGGCAAAGGCATACGACAAAAGACTACCTCCGAGACTGTTTCGCTCCTGCATACATCATGTTCTATCAGAAATCAAACACGCGGTTGCAATGAGGATCAGATACCCACAATGCATGGCACTTGCACCAATCCATCAATGGGGTCGCAAGTCAAGCCCAGATTGTGCTCTAGTCAATGGATTTAATCCTGAAGATGCACTGCATGGCATAGAAACCGCACCAATTCCAATCTCAGCGGCCTACGACGAGAATAAGAGAAATCGTGTTATATCATAGTATGAGACTGACCTGAAGAACCGTTTCGGGAGAAGCTATCAACCGAGGTTTAGGGATAGGAATTAGAAGGCATTCTGATGGCCACCTCACTCACCACCCATGCATGCTGCAAATCCGGCGCTCGCCATTGAACAAGCAACTATGCAAACACTTCTTGGTGAATTGATTTATATAGTAGGGAAGGACGTCGTCTATACCTCCTACTTCAGCTTGACATCCTCCCTCCGCTGCGGATATTGTACTGCCTCGTTTGAAAAGCATTCCGACAGCCTTCGAAAACTCATCAAAAAGTGAAAGACAGCTGATGGAAAAGCTTACCGCAGCGGTGAGCAAGAATGTGACGACCGACTTCTCAGGATCATCGCTGATAAACTGTCATCCTAATACACAAGCGATTCTCGTATCACTGGTTGCAATGTCCATACCTCTACAATGTATTTTAATACTGCTGGTATGACACCCGCTGCGCCATTTGTAGGGGACGTCACAATTCGCCCACCGCTGGCGTTCACTTCGTTCACTGCGATCGCATAACACGATAAAAAGTCCATGGCGGGAATCATTGTTTTGCGCTAGACGGGTATGCGGACAGGTTAGGGCACTTATATCCATGGACTAACAACCCGACTGTAAAGATACTCACCGGTGGCATGGGAAGGATTGCATGGTCAAACGAGCCTACTACACGTGTCGCCCGCACGGCAGCTACATTCGCACCCGCACCCTTCTCGTTCTCGTTACCATTCTCTCCATCGTCCTGTTCTCCCTCGGGGGCACCGATTCTCTCAGCAGCCTGTGAAGATCCTGGGCCGATGGCAGCAACGGTGGGCGAAACAAGACCAGGATAAAAGCTATTAGGCAAGACTCAGTAATCCTTAAATTCGCATAACAAGAATTATCGCACTTACCCTCTCATGAGTCGGCGGTAAAGCATAGGCGCACGGCGACGAAGCTGGAGTCGCCCTGGAAGCTTTGTTTCTGAAGAGGATACACCCATCCGAATACAGTCGTCCATAACACTCCATATACGCATAACCTGTACAAATAAACTCTTTTAGGAAAAACAATGGAACAATGCGCATTGAAATGCCTGCCTTCTCGTGGATTTCGTCGTGCGAATATCCAAAGTGCAACTCGTTGTCGTAAACGATTTGCGCAATGGTCATCTATGGAAACAATTACCGTACGAGGAAATCGCAACCTAATGTCACGCACATTATGTTTCTTCGTTAACGCTAGCAAACTCTCGCCGGACTAAGAAAGGTACGATGTCAACCAAAGACGACACAGGCATTCATTACACATACCACGAAGGGATATGGAGGTTGGCACGAGTCTGCACTTTGTGCGTGCTGTTCCGAACTATCCTCCGATTCCGACGATGATCCATGCGGGTGGTGAAGACGCGCCCCATGCACCGCACTCTTGTCTACACCCTTGTAGAAGAGATTCTCGTCCACTACGGGTTATTATTCAGTAAAGCAAACAGCGCGTCTAAGCTACCTTACCTTTCGTCTTCTCATTGACTACGAATCCACCACCCACGCTGCCCAGGGTCGACTTCCGTTATTCAGGTACCACTGCTGCACCGAGATACTTAGACGCACCTGAAGTACTCGTTTGTCGCAAGTAGATCACCTCCTTCGTCAAACACAGAAAAGCGCATTCCATTGGGATGGGTGCGAAGTACCTCATCCCAGCGCCAGACCATATCCTTGTCCATATCGTACGTAATTCGATGCCGCCCGCCGAGTGTTAGGCTTTTACTCTCCAAGATTGCAGTGTATCGCGCGGGAATTGTACCTGTATCTATTGTCTCTGGGTCCGAGCCTTCTAAGCCAAGCAATATCGCTTGGGGTGTATGATGTCTGCCCCAATTGCGAACTAAGGTGAGAATAAGCCACAGCACAAAATACGATGACATACCCTTTCCCTGAAGAAACAAGATTGATCGATTGATTTGAAAGGAAAAAAAAAAAAAA